GAGCCAAAGCAAAGAAACAAAGGTAATAGAGGCAATCAAATATAAGATCTAGTAAAAGGCTACACAATTGCAGTGCTTTTCATCCAAACAAAGGGCACCTTGAATGAACATTTAACTTATGGATCGGAGATGCCAGATTAAAAGCTCATAATTGCTCTATCCAGTTCTTAACAGTAGGCACAAGTAACCAACAAATGCATAAATAACTATACTTTCACAGATAACATATATACATACAAGTAATTGATGAACTTCATGCATTCAAGAAGCTCTTTCAAAACTTACCAGAGAGATTGGTATATGTACCAATTAAGTCACAGCCTATTCCTCATTGTGCAAATCTTTCACAACTTCAAGCAGTAAGTCACATCATTTTTGCATGAGCGATCCAAATCCCAAAATCCCATAAAAACCTGAACTGTTTTATACAGACATTCTCTAATCTCTAATCTCTATAGGCAACATATGAAACACACTAACAGCAAAAAGATCTAAGTGGCTATCAGTCTTATAAAAAAAAAATGAGGACAGCGAGGGTGGAGATCTAAGATCTAAACGAATATCAGTTATTCTGTGATGGGAATAAGAAGACAATAATGAAATAGCTTCATCAGTGTCCAATACCCAGAAAGGCAGAAAGCTAAAGATCAAAGCTTTACACACAAAAATTATGAAGTGAAATAAGCAGATTGAACGGAAAGAATAGATTTTTACAGGAAAATATGAGGTTAGAATGATGAGAGGATCACTGCATGCAAAAATGAGGCGATTTAACTGCTGGATTGCGAACCGATTTCGCACAAGGCATCAGTGCACACAAGCATAAAATCATTGCCTCCCGTTTAGTGTTCACCAAGATGAACCCTAGTCCCAAGCCCGATAAATTGATAGATCTAGTCAAAATATATAGGAATAAAAAAAAGTAATAATTATCTTTTTAAATTTAATTTAATGCAAAAGCTGGTGATTTCTGTGGACAGTATTCATGGATCTAGTCGGAATCTCTTTTGTAGTGCAAAAGCTGGCGCATTCTTTGATGCCTGCCCGGCCCGCCATGTGTCCCACCCACCTGCCAAAAGCTTCACAGAGGATAAATCAGTCATCCATCCTAACCAATAAAAACCTAATGGCATCTTTTTTTGAGATTTTTTCGAATCTTAAAATTAAGGTTGAGTTTTTACACTATTAGAGATTAGAGATATGATTTTTTCTCAAATTTTTTTCATGTTAATGTTAAAATTTTTTATGGATTTCAAAAGAGAGATGACAGAAGACTACCGCTTTTGTTCGTGTTGGCCACACATTCAGTGCTCAGCCAGGTGCGTGCAATGCACACCCTGACTAGCACATTATGTGCTTTGTTTTTTGTTTTTTATTTTCTTTTTTTGCGACAGACAATCAAACCTGTTTTTTTTTTTTTTTTTTCCTTCTTTTCTTTCCCTCTTCTTTCTCTTAAATTGGCACCTCAAAAACCATTAAAAACACAATTGCTATTGAGGATAGCAAATTATTGTGTGGATCGTGGTCTACACAATCGTATGGACCATGATCCAAAACAACGTCGTTGAATATTATGAGTAAGAATAATATACATTACATGTTAAAATATGAAACTTTTAGGATAATATAATATACATTATGGGTTATAAAAATGTATGTTGCAGCGATCGCGTGAGAAAAAATATACAAAACGATATCGTTTTTTACCGTGGTCCATACAATAACTATTGTATTGAAGATGCTTTAATAAATGGTTGATTGTAGTTCGGTAAATCAATTTTATCTGAAAATGTCACAAATTTTAATTGAGTTCATCCAGTTCAATAGAGTTAGTATGAAACCAAATGGGTTGGCCTAATTGACATCCTAATTATAGGGGTAGTAATTTCTTTCCAATTTTGTGGGGATATCCCATCCCTGCTCCAAGAAACACGGACCAAATTTGAGGAATAGGAACAGGGATGGGAACAGTCAATCAGTCATCTTCACCCCCTAATATAGTAATTGAGTTAATACCCAAAATCGTCTTCGACTATAGTGGTTTTTCTCAATTTTGTCCTAAACGACTTTGGTGACTTAATGTAGTCCCAGAGTTTTGTGTTTTTACTCAATTTTGTCATAGACTTTTGTGTTTTTGCTCAATTTAGTCTCCCATTTGTTATTCCGTCCATTTGTTGTTAAATAAATAGATAATTCAGTAATTTTAATATTGGCATCTCTTTATTCATAGACATGTAAAGTGTGAAATCCCTCTTTTTTTTACGAATTACTCTCAGAATCACTTCTAAAGCTGCGAATATAAAATTTGATTCGTAGGTCTGATAGTAACTCTGGGTGTAATTCGTGTAAGAAAGAGAGATTTCTCACTTCGCAGGTTGAAAGTAAAGAGATGTCAATATTAATATTATTGAATTGTCCCTTTATTTAACATCAATTTGACAGAATAACAAACGGAGGACTAAATTGAGCGAAACACAAAAATCTAGGACTATATTAGGTCACCAAAGTCATTTAGGACAAAATTGAGAAAAACCATTATAGTCGATGACAATTTTGGGTATTAATTCTCACTAAATATGTTGGTAGTGATATAGTTTAAGGGAATAAGTATATTTTAGTGTTTGATATGTCATTTTATTATTAGAAATTAAAAATGAGTTATTCTCCTATTAAATAAATGACTATTTGTTTCATATTAAACTATTTTTGAGTCATTAATTCTAGGATCATGAGTATTTAAAAAAAAAAATTGACTTTTAATAACATGTTACCCCAAGTCACATGTCATGCAGAATGCCACATAGATTAATAATTTTAGAACAAATATATTATTTTGTATTTATAATAATTATATTAAAAACAAAAAACAACAATGGTAATAATTTTATTTTTCTTCCAAATACTACCTATTAAATCACTGAGTAAAGTCCATATGAGCATAATGGCAACAACCTGTCATGGTAGCTTGGTTACCATGGATTCTTTGTCATGGCAGCCAAGTTATCATCAGTGTCATGGATTCTTTGTCCACGACAAAGAAATTTGGCGGGCTTCTATGTTCAGGTTTGGATGGAGAAGACATGGCTGCTTTCGTTCAAAATGGATAGAAAAAGCCTTGCCGACTTCTCACTTGTCAAAAATATTTTATTTTATTTGTTTTTTTTTTTTAATGAGATTCCATGTAAGGTGGCATGCAACTAAAATTGACCGGTTACATGTTGGTAATATATTAAATAGATTAATTGCACAATTTTAATAAATTTAAGAGTCGCTAAAGGCCTTGTAGTCGAGCGGCATAGTTGTGGCCCCTCAAATGAGAGATATGAACAGATATTACATTGTAATAGAGTCAATAGTATTAAAGAAATTAAAATTAAGAGACTTTTTTTTTTTTAAGTACAATTTAAGAGTTTTTTTTTTTTTTTATATAGAATATAAGATTTCAATGTTTGGTTCAGGTTATGTAATTTTTCATGTCACATAATCTCCACATTAATTGTATAGTCTAAGGTATATTCCCCTGTTGGACAATATAATACTTTTTCCATCCCCGTCCTTGCAACAAAATATTGAGGATGAAAAATCTTCGTTTCTAATCAACATTATGGTCAAACTAATAGTTTAATGCAGTTTTAGAGTAAAAGACATTTTTGGTCTTAGACTTATAGTGGCTTGGACAATTTAAGTCCTTCATAAAAAATTTTGCCATTTTTTGGACAGACTTATTGTGACGAGGACAATTTTCGTTGAAGGATGAAGGAGAATAAGTTGAATTGACACAAATAATCCTCATTTAAACGGTCAACTAACCACATAATAGACGGAAGACCAAAATTGTCCTCGTCACAATAAGTCTGTCCAAAAAATGGCAAAATTTTTTATAAAGGACTAAAATTGTCCAAGGCACTATAAGTCTAGAACAAAAAATGTCTTTTACTCACAGTTTTAATATTTAAGTATAAAATTTTTAAATGTTAAATTCTCAATTTAAACTACAAAGTTAAAACATTAGTATGTATAATATGGAGTATAAGTTTTTAATTATTCATAACTTCACGCACAAAACTCACGGACCTTAGGCACAAGACTCACGCACCGTAAGTACAAAACTCACGTCCATTAAGCATTACACACTCACGCACATTAAGCACAAATCTCACACATCTTAAGCACAAGACTCACGCACATTAAATACAAAACTCATGCACATTAATCACCCGCACAACCGCAAGAGAGACACTTAGCCGCACTGAAACTTAATATTATATATATATATATATATATATATATATATATATATACACACACACACACACACACACACACACACACAATTTTTGTCACATTTTATTTGTTTAGTTTATTATTTATGGATAAAACTAAATATTTTTTTTATTTTTTAATTATTTTTAAAAATTTTAATTTTTAATATTTAATAATATTTGTAGTATGTAGAGAACGTATGATATTTTGTTCATCAACTAAATTATTAAAAATATTTAAATTTAGATACATTTGATATTTGTTTCTAATTTGTCAAACGATTTACGAATCGTGCTGTCCACACTATTATTAAGAAAATTGACTATTATTAAGAAAATTGTTTATGAATCAGATTGTGATGAGTGGCTTCTGAGTCAGATTATAATGAGTGACTTTATACATCACCTTTATCTATTACGTATATTTTGATTTTGATTGATGATTTAATGAATTGATTTTCTCCTTTCAAAACAAATATTTAAAAATTAATGTACGGAGAATGTGGAGGGTCCGATACTCCAATCTCCAATGAGAAATGAATACAAATCCCTTCATTTAAAATGGGGAAGAAATTAGCATCCCCATTTAGTATGATGGAGCGTCTACGATTCGCCGTTAAAAGCCCGCGTTACTATCAAGTCAAGTGAGAGCCGGGTTGAATGATCCGGACCCGAACCCGGAGTTCTAACCGACTTGCGGAAGCTTCATGTTTCTTTATGGTCACTTCAAAGTTAAAACCTTTTAAAACTCTCTCTCCGCGTTTCTCTCTCTAGGGTTAGGGTTTTCTTTTCCTCCTCAAGAGCTTCATCTTTGAAAAATTTCCGAGAGATCAAAAGAAAAGACGAGGAATTCTCCCGTTTAATAGCTTGAGGTCAGCCATGGCATGAATTCAACTTTTTTTTTTTTTCTCTCTATCGGTAATTTCTACTTCTTTCTTGTACAGTTCCTGCTATTTCAGTCTGTTCTGTTTGTTTATTAATTGAAAAAGTAAGTGAGCTTTTGAGTTTGTAGATTTGAGTTTTTTTCCCCCCCAGTATTTTTCTGTCGTTTTTGTAATTGTTTTTAAACAATACTGCTTCGGACTTTCAGCCATTTCAAATTCAAAAGATTTTTGTTTTTGGGGGTCATGGGAGGTATCTTTCGGTTAATAAGAATTTGAAGGAATATATTTTCTTTACCTTGAAATTTTTCTTGGTTTATTTTATTCTCGTTTGGTCTTATGCTTTAATTGTAAGGGCACTCATGATTTTCTATTTTTATCATAACGAAATTGGTTGAATGTGTGAGATTTCTGCTATCTCATATTTTCCTTTCTTTTTGAGAATTGGATTTAATGGTAATTTGACAACAACTCTCTCCTTTCTTGGTTCCCAGATTGAAGTACTGAGACAAACCTCCACTTTACCAGTCTGATTCTTGAAAGGTTTGAAGCTATGTATAGTGAAGGTGTTCCTGAGTTTGTTATTGATCAGGGTTTGTATTATCCTACTGCCACCAATTATGGGTATTATTGTACAGGTTAGTACATATTTGTTTTAGCTGTGATCATAACATACCATGTAGGTCCTCATGTGTGTAACTGCTTGTTCTGTTTTTGTACAGGATTTGATTCGCCCGGCAATTGGGATGACCACCAAAGAGTTTTTGGTCTGGATGGTCAAGAAATTTATGCGGTAAGGACATATTTAATTGTTTATGCATTCTTGAACACTATAAGTACTGTAGTTATTTTCATTAATATGGATATTGTATCTTTTTTTGTTGTTGTTGTAAATATGTGTTTTTGTTTTTTCAGGGTGCACAAAGTGAAAGCTTTCCTTATGTATATTATACACCTAGCTATGGGTATGCACAGTCTCCATATAACCCGTATACTCCTGGTGCTGTGGTAGGAGTTGACAGTTCATATATGGGGACTCAGCAGTACTACACCATCCCCTCTTATGAAAACCCCGAGTCTACACAATCATATTTCCCAATGGTAGTGCAAAGTGAATCCGATATTGTGGCAAACAGTAAAACCCCATTCCTTGATAGTTCCTTTTCTACTACTAATTTAGCTGAAAGCCATGGTCTTAAGCATAATTTTTCTTCATTGTCTCCAATGTTCATCCCAACTTCATTAGGGCCTTCTTCTAGTCAAACTAATACTTTTATGAGGAGTTCAGATGGTTTTAAATCTGTTCCTGGGTCAAGTAAGCATCCTGCCCCGCATGGAGTTGTTCCTTCTGATTCTTTCTCTAATCCATCTTCAAAGGTAATTCAGTATCTCTCTGTTGGATTCATCCTGATTGTTGACAAATTTCATTCCTTCTGCAGTTGGCCTTTGTATTTATAAAGTTAATATTGATTGATCAATAGTATTCGATTTCTCTGTTGGATTCATCCTGATTCTTGACAAATTTCATTCCTTATGCAGTCAGCATTTGTATTTATAAAGTCAAGACTGATCAATAGTATTGGATTTTTCTGATTTTTTCCTATGAGGTTCTTGTTGCAAGTAGATTAGATTACTGTTGGGTTTTGACTTCTATCGTCTTTGACAGGGTAAAGTTGCTCAAGCTCTAGGAGGTGTTTCGCATGGAAAAGCACCATCTAATCATGCTCAGTTAAGGGTTTCACTTCCATCTGATAATGGATTGTCAAACTTCCGACCAATGCGTCATGATGGAGCCAGCATAGATAAGTTTCAGCCCAGGTTTTTGCATGGAAGAGTACCCAGTGATGTAAAAGTTAGTCCGGATGCATCTACCGGACAGAATCTAGTACCCCGGATCAACAAATTGAAAATTCCATTGGTTGTTAAGGCCTACACTACAAGGGCTGGAGATGTTGATTCACAAGGAAATATCACTATTTGTAGAGATCAGTATAATAAGGATGGTTTTCTGATGGACTTTGTGAATGCCAAGTTCTTTGTTATTAAATCATACAGTGAAGATGATGTGCACAAGAGCATTAAGTATAATGTTTGGTCGTCTACACCCAATGGGAACAAGAAGCTAAGTAATGCTTATGAAGATGCTCAGAGGATGGCTGCTGGGAACTCAAAAGGGTGTCCAATCTTCCTGTTTTTTTCAGTGAGTTGATATTTTAGCACTTGGTGCTTAGCAACACATTTTTAGAACAATTTTTACTTTGCTTTGTTAGTGGGTGATACCCTCATGTCACCAATGTCACATTTTAGGTATTTTTACTAATATTTTGCTTGCTTTTTGGAAATTAAGGTTAATGCAAGTGGTCAGTTCTGTGGTGTTGCGGAGATGACTGGCCATGTAGATTTCCACAAAGACATGGATTTCTGGCAGCAAGATAAATGGAGTGGTAGTTTCCCTGTGAAATGGCATATGGTGAAGGATGTGCCCAATTCCAACTTTAGGCACATCATTTTGGAAAACAATGAGAATAAGCCAGTGACCAATAGCAGAGACACACAAGAGGTATGGTATATTGCAGACAGCAATGTTTAAATTTCTTAAATCTTTTTGTTTAAAATAAACATGTGGTAGATTGATATTCAAGTCATCCCTCTTCTATTGATTTCTTCTGCATAAATCCTTTTCATCTTATTCTAGGCCCATTGCTTAAACTTCCAACATACTTTTGATGTTATTAGGTTGATAATGTTTGTAAATGTGCCCTATGTTAGGGATTCTTACAATCTATTGATCTTGAACTTTTAAAATGGTTCTGAAATCACCTTGCTGATGCTCGACTTTCTGGAATGCTTTTATTAATTTATTATTTTTAATATCTATAGGTCAGCTTATAATACATATTAGGATTGCTTATTACCCATTTTGTCATGTGGAAGTTGTTCTTCACGTTGTTATATCTAGGGATGGTTGAAGCTGAAGCTTCTGATGCAGCATTGGCAATCATGATCATTATTAAAAATTGACCTTTGATTTTTTTTATTTTTATTTTTCTGTTCTGTGGAAGTTCTTTCTTCTTCAACTGATTTGTTCCTTGGTTAGGGTGATCCTTGAACTGCATATGAATAACTGGCAGTTAATTGAAAAACTCTTTTACATGTAGTTTCTTTGTCTTTAATATTTCAAGAGGTAGCACTTTGGTTTGGTAATGAGATATAAACTTCTGCTTCAGTTGATCTCAAAATGTATGGAACTCCCACTTGATTTTTTTCCTTCTATTTGAGCTATTTGCATCTTGACATGATATTACTCAAGTCAAAAAGAAAGAATTTTCTGTTTTGGTGCATGATACATTGATCATAGTTGATGCAATATTGAGCTATTGTTCCTCAGTTCACTTCATTTATTGTATTTTTGCAGATACATTACAAGAAAGGAATGGAGATGCTTAAAATTTTCAAAAGTTTTGCATCTAGAACATCCTTATTTGATGACTTCTTGTTCTATGAAAGTAGAGAGAAGATAATGCAAGAAGATAGAGCCAAGATTCTAATCAGGAGCTATGAAAGTCCATTTCTTGTACCTGTATTAGATCCTCCCCGCAAGCTAAATTCCATTTTTGACATGCCCTCTAGTGGAGGTGAGAAAATATACAAGCATGTTGATACAAGGATGCCTGGGAGTAGTTTAGGAGCAGTTACTGAAGAGGTCATAGTTTCTACAATCAACAAAAGTGTTGCCAGTGAGAGTGAGAAACCTGTGGGAGATGAGAAAATGACCAGCAAGTCTGGGAGTAGTGTGGCGGCTGTTTCTGCAAAGCAGGTTACCATTGCAAGTGAAGGAGGAAGTGAAAGAAGTGTGGCAGATGATAAAATATCAAAGAACGGTGACCCCAAGAAATCTGGGAGTGGTGTGATGGCTGTGGCTGCAGAGCAGGCCCCTGTAGTTTCTAAAACCAATAAAACTGTTGCAAGTGGAAGTGAAAAAAGTGTGGTAGATGAGAAAATATCAAACCATTGTGATCCCAAAAAGCCAGTTAGTGATGTGTTTGCTGTTCCTGCAGAGCAGGGGGTTTCCGTAGTACCTAAAATCAACAAAACCATTGCAGACGAAGGTGAAAAAATTGTGTCAGGTCGAGGGACAGGCATTGATAGTGTATTGAAGATTGGTTCCCTCACTATCAATGCAAAGCAGCCCAAGTCCGAGCCTCATGAGTCTGTTTCTACAACTAATACTACCACAGTCAGCAACCAACCAGTTGATGTCGTCACAGTAGGGTCTATGCCCATCAAAGTAAATGCCTATGCTGAGCCTTCTGGTTTTCTAACAGTTGGATCTATTCAACTTGACCCCAGATCTCTCCGGTCTAATGAGTCTAGTAGTTCTGGAAAAAGTACATCTCGGAAAGTTTGATGCGTGCTACAATCTGTTAACTTGAATGTTGGCAAACGGGATGTGATGGGGTACTGCTTGACCCCGGAGAGTTAGTGCTTGATATTCACTTACCATCGGGGTCTATGGTTGTAGATCTTGAAATCTTCAAAACATATTTTATTTAGTTTTATTCTGAAAGGGGAGGGGCAATTGGCGGTGGATCTAGGTTGTTTTGGCTGCCATTGCTTAAACGGAGTATGAGTTTCTTTCACCTTTGGTTTTCCAACCATTTAAAGATACACCAGAAAACATGAAATGAGCAAGAAAAAAGGAAAAATTAGACTAGGTTTTGGCTTCCATATGGATATTGGTCTTTTGTTAGGTGGACAACTGATTGACAAAAAAAAAAAGTATACTTGGCTTCTTTTATTGGCAATGTATTTGAGCTATTGACTTATCATGAAAATTGAAATTCCCTTTCTGGTCTGCTTTTAGCCTTCTCTATGATTGTTGAGAAAGAGATGAATATAATGGTACTGTTTGGATGAATTTATCCTTGAAGTTTATGATTGTAGAATATGAAAGTAGCTACTAATACTAATTATACAGTCATTAACTTTACTCCCAGCAGTTATACTATGTACCCTGGACTCGGGTTTAGAAAATACAATTTACATATTGAATGTTTGCAATTTGAATTGTAAATATTTAGTATTTAAAAATTGTGAACTTTCTATGAATTCTGATTTACCTTGTAAGGTGGACTCAGATCCACATATTAATTTGTCTTTTATTCAATTATGGACAAGTAATTTTTCTGATCATTGATTTTTTTAGTTGAGATTTATCACGTTTAACAAAGCATTCTTTCATAGGTTCAAATTAATTAGAATAGACTGACTAACAAAGAATTTCTCATTATATTTTACAAAAATTATCAAATTTGGCCCCATTTATTTCTACAATTATCAAAACAATCATGATTCTACAATTTCTTTACCTAAGTTATTGATTTAGACTACAATTAAACTCACAAATCTCTTAAAGTCAACCAAAATATGTGAAAAATATAAGCAAATTAACTGTGAAATCGTAATAAGTTGACAATCCTTTTTAACATTATGATTGTGAGAAAGTAAAAATCTTAATTGGTAAAAAGTAAAAGAGAAACAAAAAGATGAAATAAAATAGGCAAAACACTCGTCCTAAAACGGCGCCGTAGGATGTGTGATTGTCGGCGTATCGGCGATGTCGCGCGTAATGTACTCCGATTCCGACAAAGATGCAATGAGGAAGAACAACACGACGTCGTCATCTCTTTTCCCTAAAGTTTCCTTCCCCCTTCAAGCTGAAAATCTTACTACACTCGGCTGAACTTCAGAAGCTAAGTTTACTCGGGATAAAGTTAAATCAAGAACCTGCCTTTTCTGCTTCTTTCAGATCGCCAGGTACTGTGATTTTTACTATATAAAGATCTGTTAAAGTTGCTTTCTGGGTTTCAACATTGAACAGATTGTTTCATATTACTTTTGAGAGTAGAAAAGGATTCATTTTTCTTTTTGTAAGTAGAAAGATGTTGTTATAGAGTTTTATCTACTTATGAACTGGAATTTATTTTAGTATGTTTGAGGTAGCTTTGCAGTATGATGAAGATTTGAGTGTTTGAGTGCGAGGTTTAATTGTTTAGTTAATTGCATGTTCAATTGTTAACAATGTTAGGTGCTAAACTCAGAACCTTTCAGCTGGAGTAGAAAAGGGAATGAAGAAATGGGCTGGAATCCTGCTGATTCTAGGCCTTGCTGTTATTTTGTTGATTCGGTATGGTTTGATGGAAAAACCGCTACGAAAGCAATCAGCTTTTGATTTTTTCAACAATCATCCACCTAGTGTAAATGTAGAGGATTATTTGAAGGATATTAGTGATGGGGATGGGGCGGAATTGCCTCCGAAAAAGGATGTCGATTATTCTGGTTTTAAGGAAAAGCCTCGGTTTGTTGATTTTGATGGGTTGGGTGATTTGTATAGCTTGAGTAATGTTTCCAAAGAAGAGTCGGGGGCTTTGCTTGTGTGGAGCCAGATGAGGGCATTGTTATCTCGATCTGATGCATTGCCTGAGACTGCTCAGGGAATCAAGGAGGCTGCTGTAGCTTGGAAAGAGCTGTTATCGACAATTAGAAAGGATAAAGCGTTGAATGTGTTGGACGATAAGGAAGATAAGGATTGCCCTTACTCGGTTAGTCTGTTTAATGCAACGTTATCAAGGGATGGGAGTATTCTTGAAATCCCCTGCGGTCTAATTGAGGACTCGTCCATTACGGTGATTGGCATACCTGACTCAGAAAAAGAAAGTTTCCAAATTAATCTTGTTGGTTCTCAGTTGCCTGAGGATCCAAAGTCTCCTATAGTTTTGCATTATAATGTTGTTTTGCCGGGTGCAAACTTGACAAAGGATCCCATTATCACTCAGAATACATGGACTAATGCATCTGGGTGGGGAAAGGAGGAGAAGTGCCCTGATCATGGCTTTTCTGACACACTAAAAGGTGAAATTTGCATATACTTTGTTAGTTAAATGGATTTCAATACCATTTGATTAATGTCGAAACTGAAACCCAATTCTTTGACCACAGTGACTTGGTTATCTCATTTGATATCGGAGAGTTATTTCATTAATCTTGCCTGATTCCAATCTAGTTATGTTAGGATCAAGCGCTTACCACTACGCCAAAAACCCAACAATCCCCCTAGCCACTTGGTGCTAGACTTGGCCCTTCACTTGCCTCTGCCCAACCATTCCCCCAGCACCTGTCATCCTTAACTGCACAATCCCGTGACCTAGCTCTGATACCACTTGTTAGATCAAACACTTAGCTTGTAGTGAAGACGTAACTTTATTTCTTTATACTGCCAGATTTTTGAGAGGCAAGGTGCTAGACTTGGCCTTTCACCAGCCTCTGCCCAACAATTTCCCAGCACCTGCTAGCCTTAACTGCACAATGCCGTGACTTGGCTCTGACACCACTTGTTAGATCAAGCACTTAGCTTGTAGTGAAGACACAACTTTATTTCTTTATACCGCCAGATTTATGAGAGGCAATGTGCTAGACTTGGCCCTTCAGGCCTTTGCCAACAATCTCTTAGTCACCTAGTGCTGGACTTGACCCTTTACTGGCCTCCACCCAACAAGTTATTTCTTGAAAAGTGTTGTTCTTTATTTTTGTGTGATGTTAATAAGACCTCAATGCTTGAGTTAGTGATTGATGCTTGCCATACTTGTTCGTAGGGATGTAATTTTTTTTTCCTTCTCCCTACTTTTTGTTTTCAGTGGATGGACTTGCAAGATGTAACACGAAAATTATCAGAAGCAATAGGGAAGATACTTCAAATGCTAGTCTTCTGGAAAGTGTGAAATTGACTAATGCTTCAAATGGGACAGCACATGCAAGTGCCAATTTTCCATTTGTCGAAGGCTACCCATTTACTGCAACATTATGGGTTGGTGTAGAAGGGTTTCACATGACTGTAAATGGAAGACATGAGACATCTTTTGCCTATAGAGAGGTGAGGTATGGTTTTATTAGCGATTTTGCAGTTGAAAAAATATGGTAATGTGTTGCAATTTACTCTAGATTATGTTCCTAGTATGACTACTACTTGCAATGGTGTAGAAACTCGAGCCTTGGTTGGTTAATGAAGTCAGGGTGGAGGGTAGCTTGGGCATCATATCCACCCTAGCAAAAGGACTGCCGGTTTCTCAAGATCCCGATTTGGCTGATATTGAGCACCTCAAAGCTCCGCCAATTAGTCTCAAGAAAAGACTCACACTGCTAATTGGAGTTTTCTCGACGGGAAACAATTTTGAGAGACGTATGGCATTAAGGAGATCGTGGATGCAGTATGAAGCTGTGCGTTCAGGGCAAGTGGCGGTCCGCTTTTTCATTGGTCTTGTAAGTGAGGAATTTGCTTAATGTAATCTCGGAAAAGGCGGGACTTGATTTTCTTTTGCTTAAAATTTCGTGCAGCACAAAAGCAGGCAGGTCAATTTTGAGCTTTGGAGAGAAGCTCAAATATATGGAGATGTTCAACTGATGCCTTTTGTCGATTACTACAGCCTGCTCAGTCTAAAAACCGTTGCAATATGCATTCTCGGGGTATGTAGAACGAAACGTATATATTGTATGTTATTGACATCATTTGTGTACTCTCGAGCTTATTATTATGTAAAATTCCAATCAGGTGAAAATCCTCCCTGCGAAATATATCATGAAAACGGATGATGATGCTTTTGTAAGGATAGATGAAGTGCTGACAAGCCTCAAGGGAAAGGGCCCCGACGGTCTGTTGTATGGTCGAGTATCGTTTGAATCTTCTCCCCACAGGGATAAGGAAAACAAATGGTACATCAGCACCGAGGTACTGCTATTCTCTAACTCGATTTAATTCCTTCCTTGGATATTAGCCTATTCTTTCTTCCCGATTGTTTCACTCTTGCAGGAATGGCCTCATTCCTCTTATCCACCTTGGGCGCATGGTCCAGGCTATATAATTTCTCGGGATATAGCCAAGTTCATTGTTCAGAGTCATCAAGAAAGGAACCTCATTGTAATACTCAGTTACTTCTAGTGGATCAAGTTTTTTTTTTTCTTCTCGTGATTGATTTTTGTTTTGTCTGTGCTGTGTAGCTTTTTAAGCTAGAAGACGTTGCAGTGGGCATATGGATCAACGAGTTCAAACGGAAGGGTCACAAGGTGCGATACATAAACGATGATCGATTCTACAATGCTGGGTGTGACACGGACTACATTCTTGCCCATTACCAGAACCCGAGGATGGTTCTCTGCCTGTGGGAGAAGCTGCAGAAAGAGCATCAACCAAACTGCTGCGAGTAATTAACCGAGCACTGTAAGCCATAGCCCAGCTTCACTTTCCACATTCTTTTGATGATCATGTCAAGATGTACACTGCTTTTTCTCTCTTTTTTACATTGATTATTGCAGTTTTTTTGGCCTTAAGATGCATATACAGTCTTGCTAACTTTGCTGACTTCTTTGGAGAAATCTGGTGCTTAGTGCTATGTAAGTAACAATGGTCTAGATAAAACCACTAGTTTAGAACCGGTGGTAAGCGGGCTGACTGTTAATGCAACTGTAAGGTAGAAGGATCAACGACTCTTGTATATGTACACCATCTTAAAGAGCTTTAGACCAAACTTTTCCTCGTCTAAAACAATGATCTAGATAAAACCAATAACTTAGAACAGTTGGTAAGTGGGTTGACGTACTGTTAATGCAACTGTAAGGTCAGCAGATCAACTCTTGTATACATGCACTATATTAAAGAGCTCCAGACGGAACCTTTCCTTGAGTAGAACAATTATCCTAGATAAAATCAATAACTTAGAACAATTGGTAAGCAGGTTGAGTGCTAATGTAACTGTAAGGTCAAAGATCAACTCTTTGTATATGTGCACCATGTTAAAGCGCTCTAGACCGAACCTTTTCTCGAGTAAAACAATGATCTAAATAAAATCAATATCTTTGAACAGTTGAAAAGCGGGCTGACTGCTAATGCAACCGTAAGGTCGAAAGATCAACTCTTGCATACGTGCATCATGTTAAAGGGCTCTAACTCTGACCTTTTCCTTGAGTAAAACAATAATCTTAGATAAACTTTCCTCACCCAAACCAATAATACCTTGAAAAATGCTTCACAAATCACCCATGATTTGCATATTATATTCCAAGGATTATCAAGTTGACATTATTTTATCCTTAAAACTGCTGGTTTTTATCTGTGAACATGTGAAAACCATCTCTTGCCAGTGGTAACTAAAACTGCTTTGATACTAAAAATGAATATTTAATATATTAAAAATGAATATTCCTTTATCTATTATTGGTTCAACTTACCATGTGGATATGGTCATACGGTATGGTTTGCCCAACAGTTGATGATCAAAAGTGTTAATTTTAAAGGCGATGATCAAATAGCCAAATGTGTTTTATTTCTTTATTTTTATTTTACTTTAGTTTATTTCGGAGTTGGGGGAGGGGGCAAAATTGATTAATATTGATCTCTACTTTTTACCTGATCTGGCATACACATGCATATCCTGCATGGTAACGTGGCACCTTTTTCTTTTAACAAGTTGTTGTCCAATGTCCACTCACTTTCTTAAAAAAAATCATAAAATTCCATTCTTTTTGACACATAGAATGACCTTATATGTATTTATATAATCAGGACAATCCAGTCAAGTTAGTTATACACACTCAGTAATCATAAGATTTTAAATTTAATTATTCGTGTGGGATGTCTATTGGTGTTTACATCATTGACGAATTATTGTGTGGATCACGATCCAAAATAAAGTCGTTTTGATGTTTAAAAAAATTCCTTGCTCCGCGGATGTGTTAAAATAATGAATATTTTGAGGCTGGTAAGATAACGTATTTTATGAGTTAGAATAATATACTTTATATGTGTTAGAATAATGAAATTTTTAGGATAAAATAATATATTTTATGGATTGGAATAATGTATTTTATGTGTTAGAATAATATATTTTATGAGTTAGAATAATGTATAATGTACTTTATGTGTTAGAATAATGAAATTTCTGGAGTAAGATAATATATTTTATGAGTTAGAATAATATACTTTATGTATTTTTGGACCGTGATCCACACAGCTGTGTGGATAACAGTCACGGTCTATGCAATAATGATTATACATTCTTGTGGTTCGGATCTTTCTATGTCCATCAAACGGTCCAGGTCATTCAGTAGTGAGAATCGAACCCGGATTATTCCGAAATTCTTCCCCACAAAAAGAGTTCATTTGCCACTTGAGCTACCCTATTGGGTTGAATCAAACCCTCTATATATATACATAAACTCACACGATAAGATTGTTGATATTATTAAGTTTTCATCTAAATCTTTGTATGTTGATTAGTGAGTCCAATTTGACCACAAAAACATGTCACCCGAAAATAAAATAAAACTAGTTATTTATTGGTAGAAAACCGAACAAAGATTGATTTGTACAAGATTTTGCAATGAACACGCGTTGGTTTATAGTGAAATAACTTGGGCACGTTAAATTTTTAAAAATTTGTGTTCACAATGACAACAACATTTTTATTTGTTTGGACTCTTATTAAACGTTGCCAGGTGTTGACGAGTTTGTTTGTATTGACTTGTCACCATCACTGCCCAACTATTCCTTTACGCACTTCTCCCTTTCCGTTCCTTCATCGCCAAGAATATTCCAACATTTGTCTTCCTATTATAGTGTCTCACATTTAAAAAAACAAAACAAAAAAAAAACACTTATCTGAGAGTGTATACTAGGTAAACTCATCTTGTGAATTATGACTCTAGCTGACACAGGACTACAAGGAGATAAATCAGCCTAAACTGCCATAGCTAACTAGCTCAAATTTAGAAGACAGCTTTTTTAAACCTTTATTATTGCTTTGACTCGTATGTGTTATAATCTAATTTTTAAGCCTGAATTCAACTCTAGTCTCTCTACATGCCCATATATACATACATATACAAGTATAATGAATTATCAATCTTTTGTTTTTTTCAAGATTTGATTTTGTGGTAATCTCAATTAGAAAAAAATATCTGATTTTCTTCTTCTAGCAAGCAATTGCTACTAGTCCAAGAATAAATTCAAAATTGGAATTATATGTGTGGGTGGTGAATATAAAGAATGGTGTATGGGTGGATATGATGGGCGACTAAGACCACTTGTGATAAAGGAAAGGAACATATTGGAGTATGAGGTAAGCTCTAATCTTATGGATAAGGCCAATGGTCAATATTTTTTTGGAACCAAAGATAATCTCAAACTTGTTCTATACGTATACTTAGCTTGTTTAATTATTATCTATGTCTATATCTATTTACCGTCTCATCTTTTGTTTATTTATTTTTGGTATGACAGAAGAGAAACACCGATTTATATGAACATAGACCTAATAATTCCTATCACATCCGTAGATTTAATTTGCCCACCAAGTCACCTTGAAATCAAAGATGTCGTCGCATGGGCATCTCAGTTGGTCACAGGGGTAAAGTTTGGAAACAATGATCCAAGATCAAGTCTCATCCGCGACAGTATAGGAGCAATCTCTCAAAGTAAGGAGGACTCCTTGTGCGTAGTAAGCAAAAGCCTAGCCTACGTGTTCAACCATGATTTACATTATCCCAGATGCTTTGTCGGGTCAGGACGTGAAAGCCCTTACGGTTGGAGATTCAGCCTTTTGGGAACAACAATGAAATCAAAGATGTGGTCATCTAATTAGTGCATATGTTTGATGTGTTTTCTTTAATTAAATTATATTGTTGACTTCATGAAATGATCTAAAACTTTTGAGTCATTTTGATATATATTAAATCTTGTAATTTGTATAATATGTGAATAATAATTTATTGGCAATGATTTAGATTATGTTAATGGACGAAGTGAATATTGCGTACTATAACAACTCAATAAGAAGAATGACCCGCAATGAAAGAAAAAAATTGTAAAACATAATTTGTCTACATTCATTTCCATTGATATCATCTTAAATTAGCTCTAGGGGCAAGGGGGTGGGGTGGGTGGGAGGTTAGTTAATTTTCAAGACATCAATGAATATAAATTGTTTTCAATCTTCTTAAATGAAATGTCAAGAGGTGAACATAAATATTAAGTTGAAAAAAATATCATTTTTTAAGCGAAATTTATTGGTACTTTATACATCTCTCGAATTCAACCGTAAAAAATTTATTTTATAGAGTTAGAACATGTTATCGAAGAGGAATAGTAAATGAAGTTTGAGAAAGGAGATCTTTTCCTATTCTCTTGCAGGCTCTTCCAACTAAGTGGGAGTTATGAACTAATTGCAACACTTCTAAGTTCTAATACTTTAAATTTGGTTAATTTTAGATAAAATTTTATAATATCAATTATAAAATAAGTGAAAATTACATTTTTGATTCCTTAATTGTGATTATAGTGTAGATTTAATTTAATTTCTCAAAATTTAGTGAAGTAATGAATTTCATCCTTTCTGAAATTAATTGCCACTTTACTAAGAATTAATGGAGCACTAAACATATACTACAATTATGACTGAAAGACTAAAAATGTCATTTAAAAATTACATTTCAAAATCAACCATTGTTTTTAGTTAATTAACCATTCAACAAGTTTTACCATGTTAACATGTATTTAATGACATTTATGGAAGCCTTGAAAGTTTACTCTATAGCTTTATTAACATTGCACTCAAAGTTTGTCACAAAACATATATGACCTAATCTATTTCATAACTAAATGTTAGGTATTTAATATTAGAGACTAGTCTTGGTCTCACACATTGCCTTCCAAATTTCAATAGCTTGAGATTATTTGCCCTGCATGTCCTTCCTTAAGATAGTCACGGTCAATCTACTATTCACTTTCATGATAATGTGGTGTCATAACGAATAGGTGGTACACACGACTAATACGTGCATGATCGAGAAATAACATGAATCAGAATTATAATTGAGGTATCTGTCATGTACAATTGTTTTAATCGACATGCTCCATTTCGTGGTACTAGAGTGTTAACCATATGTTTTCTAAGATTCAGTGATTATCACGTTTAATTTGAACACATTAGATTAAACGTACAATGAATGAAACATAAGGTCGAACAATATTAGAAACATGAATCGACAATTCAAATTAAACGTGATAATCACTGAATCTTAAAAATTATCTCAAACGCGATTGAACATATTTGTTTTTATTTTCAATGTTTTAATAGAATTTTTAAAAATTAGGAAACTAATTGCACTACGGTAAAAAATAAGGACTTATTTTAATTTACGAGAAATTTCACCACCACTACTAGAATGTGCCATATTGGTGAAGTCTGCATTTTGACCATAGCAAAATATTACAATGAGATAAATGATAAATCAGCCTAAGTAGTTCATAATTGACATGCTCAAATCAAGAAATTCAATAAATATTTTTCACAAAAATTTAACTTAAAATCCTGTGATTATCAACTAGTTAGAACATCTCTATCAGTGATTTTTGCTCAGCTTTTAAGGATACCTTGGTTGAAGTGGAAGAGGAAGAGAGGGATTGAGATCTCCCTAAAGAATTTTTTAGTCTCCTAAGTGGGCCCGACCAAATATGAAAATTGGTGCGTGAGGCTCAACAACAGTGCCCAGTTGGGATCGTTAAACTATATATATATATATATATATATATATATAGCTTTTTAGATTTTTTTCCTTTTTTCTCTCATCTTCTATTTCCTAGTCACACTTGCAAAAACTTTTCAAAAATTTATGCCTATTGAGAATGTGCATTTCTATTAGTATGATTTTTGCAAAGATTTTTGAGTGCCAACTAAGAGAGAAGAGTAGAAGGAAAAAAAATGAAAAAGCAAAAGAAAACAATTAAATAAGGGTGGTTGCCAGTTGTCGACAACCCTCAACGCAGGCGTTGCTGGTGTGCGTACAAGTAGTGAATTATTTTATTTTATTTTATATATATTCATTTGGTAGGCCCAATTTTGATCAATCTTTTTGTAACAATTTTTTTTTTCATTCTCTCCCCTTATATCTTTCTTCCGCCTCAGCCACAAACTCGGACAAAACCAAGCAAAATCTACAATGAAAAAAGCCAAGCAAAATCTACAATGGGGATGCCCTTAAATATAAGTACTCGTTTAACCTTTATATCACCGTAAGATTTAAAACATTTAAGCCCACAAAAACCAGCTTTTTCATGTGCCGCGTTTTGATACCACACGACGTTTATCCGAGTACGAGTAAGACTAGGACTCTCCATGTTTCCAAAGCCGCCGCTGTAAATATATACCCCGTATATATTTTTTTATTTCATTTCTATATATACCGCATGCGCTATTATTTCTCCTCTCAAAATCGCTCGCTCTTACAACCGAAGTTACAAAACCGAAGAGGTAAAACAAAACCCTAATCTCTCTCAAACACAGATTCATCTTCACAATCGCTCTACCTTCCCCGATTCAATCAAGAACCCAAGCTGCGCGTTTCGTTATCGATGATAGTGAAGAGGGGTTCCACCGCGGATATGGTTGCCGAAGCAGAGATTTTGTGCCAGCAGAGCGTTTCGGTTCAGTACCTCTGCGTTTCCAAGCCCGTCGACAACGACTTGGAGCTGTTCGACGTTCAGCCTGAGCCCATTTCCACGCCGCCGATCGAAGTCGAGGCCGTCGCCATCGATATTTCTCGCTCTGAGTCGGTGAGTTTTTTTTTTTTTTTTTCCTCCCATCTGAACGCGTTCTGGCTTCTTGATTAGTTCGAATTTTCTGGAAATTGAGGGATTTCTTTTCGTTTCTTGGGTTGTCTGTGATGTTTAAAAAATACCCGTATCTTGTAGTTTGTGTTTTCATTGAATCTTGAGATTGGGTTTTCTTAATCTATGTTCTGCTCAAGAAAATTAGGGTTTTGAGTTAAAATTGGTAGGATCATCTTAATAGCCAATTGATTAATCACTACTTTCTGATAGCTTTAGTATGCCTTATGTTCTTGGCTTTCTGCTATTGTTCTTGTAAGTTCTTGATTGATTTTTTTCAGACTTTAGATAGAATTTATTCACGGGTCAAAATAGAACTCGGGGTTGCTCTATTTATGATTAATATAGCTTGGAAATTAATTTGATTACTGATAAATCTTGGTTGGATCACCATAATAAATACTTCACAAATCAATAGTTTCTCCTAGCTTTGGTATGTATTATTTGATGTGATTTCTGGTGTTCTTGTGAATTCGAGATTAACTAGTTAAACTAGTGCTATTAGATTTCATATATTTATGGATGATGGATCTGAATAGAACTTATTGCTAATATGTATGACAATGGAAATTTAACTTTTAGATTGTGCCTTTTGTGTGACTGTTGGATCTATGATGATGGGCTGGATTGTTTTAATGTAGACTTTTCTTAATCTCTGTTGTTTTCAGGCTGTGACGTGCTCAACCAGTATACAAACGACCTTAATAGACTCATCAAGAAATACAAATTTTCTTCCAAGCATTCGTTCGGGTAGCTACACTGACATTGGAGCGCGACGATCGAATGAGGATGAGCATATTCGAATCGATGATCTATCTGCCCATTTGGGTCCTTTATATAGGTGGCCTCTGCCATGTTCATTTTATGCTGTCTTTGATGGTCATGGAGGATCTGCAGCATCTGGTTATGTTAAGGACAATGCATTGAGGTTCTTTTTTGGAGATGCTGATTTGCCGCAAGCATCTGTAGTTGATAAAGCATTCTTGGAAGAGTTGGGGCGTTCTCATCATAGGGCATTTTTACTTGCTGATCAAGCCTTGGCTGATGACTGTAGCATTGATGCTTCATGTGGAACAACGGCTATAACGGCTCTGATTCTGGGTAAGTATCTTGTCATTGCAAATGCTGGTGATTGCCGGGCTGTCCTTTGTAGGAAAGGAAATGCAGTCCAGATCTCTCATGATCACAGACCTTCATGTCAATTTGAAAGGAAAAGAGTTGAGGCCCTGGGTGGTCTTATAGAGTATGGATACCTAAACGGTGAAATTTCTGTCACTCGTGCCCTTGGTGACTGGTCTATGAAGCTTCCGTATGGATCAGCCTCCCCTCTTACTGCTGAGCCAGAAATTCACCAAGTTCCGTTGACAGAAGATGATGAGTTTTTGATAATTGGTTGTGATGGGGTTTGGGATGTGATGTCAAACCAGGATGCTGTTAGCATTGTCCGCCAAGAGCTTAGGATGCATAATGACCCTCAGGAATGTGCTAAGGAACTCGTAAATCAGGCCTTGTTGCGAGAAAAGAATGACAACCTCACCGCCATTGTTATCTGCTTCACTGCCCCTCCCGTTCCCTCACGCAGACCAAAACTACGATGCCTCACATTGTCTGAAGAGGCCCGCAACAGGTTGCGGAGCTTTGTACAAGGCAACTGATTGTTACGTAAGCAATTCTCATGCCTTGAAGCCCAGAGAGAGAGAGAGAGAGACATTGTACACAATAGAGGGTTATGTTCATTCTTAGGATTTTTAAATCTGTTTGAGGTTGCTTCAGATGATGAGAAAAAGCAACATGAAATTTTGTAGGGTTAGAGTTATCTAGAGGCGGATATATAATATATAGACAATGATGAGGGTATATTCATGTTTTTGGTAGAGTTTTCTGTCAGTAACTGATTTAATACATAACAAATTGACTATTCTATAGATTGTATTGAGATTTTCTTCAATTTAAATCCATTCTATTTCTTCATTATCTGTGTTTTCCCTTGCTAGCTTTGTTCAATAGTAAATGCTGAATCCCACCCCAAACAATTATCAAAAACTCATCATCTTCTGCCCATGAGACTTTGTGAATTTCTGGCTCTGCTGTAACACTTGAGACAGAAATTTCACCCTTTAGAGTTGAACTCTTTTCCTTTCAAGTTGATGAGAATGTTTATGATCATGAGAGATCTGGACTGCCATTTCCTTTCCGTACAAAGGACAGCGCAACAATTGCCAGTATTTGCAATGAGAAGATCCTTTTCGCGAACCAGAGCTTTTATTGCGGTTGCTCCACATGAATCACCAGTGCTGCAGCCATGCCGCCAACAGTCAGGGCTTGATCAGCTGGTAAATATGTTGTTCAAGAATGTTTTCATCCATTACAAATGTTTGCAGCAAATGAAATCCTCAGAGCTGCAAGCAGATCCACTGTAAGGATGTCCCGGGCCGCCTGGAAACCACAACAGAACAGAATATAACAAGTCTGCATCAACAACACCATATCAAGCAAGAAGTCACACAACAGGCAAAATCTCAATCAAAGTTTTTTTTTTTTTTTTTTTGGGTGGCCTAAGCTGAGGGTGGGTTGTTGTGCTTCCTTGGGGTGGGGGGGTGCATGGGACACAGTGACATCAGCTTGGTTGTATTTGAGCTCCAGTAGTTAATCAGAAACTGTTATGAATACCCATCATAAATGTTGTCTTGTTTACCTTCCAACTAAATTCTATCTATCTATCATATATTGTATTGTATCGTTGTGGATAGGTCTCTAGTGATGCTGCTCCTCTGCCTCATCTAGATAGCCTGTTCCTCAAATATGTGATGTTTGGCAGCCCGCCAATACATTTCCCTCCCCCCAGATATTGTCCCATATTTTTTATGTTCTACTCCAATAATTTATTTATTTATTTATTTTGGTTCTCAGCACACCAAAATAGAGTAAAGAGATTTGAATTCAAGTCTAGTGTAACATCTGCGTAATATATATCGACATATTAACACCAATATCTTTTGCATACTCTAAAAAAATATAGTAGGTGAGAGAAATCTACGATCACTATATGAGAATATGTACCAAGTAAATTGGCTTAACATTGTGACCATTAAACTAATAACTTGACTAACTTGATGGGAAGTTGAAACGGGTAGTACTATATAGTGTGTGTATATATGAATTTAAACAAATTTAAAAGGGTATATTAAATAAAAGTAGCACTCAAAAAATAAAAGAGCAAATACCAATTTTGGTCCCACGTGTATTAGTAAAATGATGATTTTTGGTCCCCATGTTTAATTCTTATCAATTTTCATCCACGATTAGTATTAGTAAAATGACGGTTGAGGGGGAGAACTACGAAGTGAGATAGATCTTAGGGCTTAAATCCCTTTATTCATGTTCAAATTGAGATCTTAATTTGGAAATGACAAAAATACTCTTAATAATTTCATATTTCAGCATATCTTAAACAAAAGGGTGACCGACGTGATGAATTTTGACACTAAAACAATAGTCGTGGATGAAAATCGGTACTAAAACAATAGTCGTGAATGAAAATTAGTAGGAATTAAATATGTAGACTAAAACTGTCATTTTGTTAATACTCGTGGACAAAAATTGGTATTTGCTCAAAAATAAAAGAAGGTAAAAGAGGAAATAAAAATATGGCATGCAACTCACGATTAACAATAGATCAGAAAATGTCTCGTTGATGGACGGGCAGGATGGGTTCTGACTTACCATCAGTCCACCAACGGCTGCGGAAAAAAGTAAAATAATATATGCTACGCTAAATCGGGTTTTAAAATATTAGAGAGAAAGGGAGAGAGAGGACCAGAAAAGCTCAGAAAAACCTAATCAAAGTTAGTGTTCCAGAGATTTGTGAATTGTAAAGGAGAAATGGCGATGGCGAGTATTGCTAGACGGAAGGTGTCGTCTCTTCTCTCGTCGAGGAATCTCTACTACAACAGCTCCAAGTACTACGCTTTCTCCTTGAGCAGAGGATTCGCGTCGGGATCTGAGGAGAACGACGTCGTTGTCATCGGCGGTGGCCCCGGCGGCTATGTGGCCGCCATCAAGGCGGCTCAGCTCGGCCTCAAGACCACCTGTATCGAGAAGCGCGGAACCCTCGGCGGCACCTGCCTTAACGTCGGTTGTATTCCTTCTAAGGTACTGCTACACTCTCACTCTTCTATCTTTGCGTATACCGATTGGAGTTTATATTCAATTTTCATGTTTCCATTAGCATTTTTTTTTTTTTTTTCATTTTCAGTTTTAATTAAGTTTCTTAGATCTACTGATTTTGACTTTGGTTGATTATATTGGGTTCTGGGTTCTATATCTATGTTCTATACCATTGAGAGTACTTGATGGTTGAGATTCTGTAAGCTTTTCAATATATGCGTTGGATTTAATATAATCTGCAGTGCTTTTACTTCCATTTAGAGTGATTTATGGTTGAGAAAATCCTTAATTCAGTTTATGATTTTGATTTCATAGAGTCTATTATGGTTTTTACTTCCACTGAGAGTAATTGATGACCAAGAAGAATTTTAAGCTTTTCAATTTAAAATTTGGATTTCATGAAACTTTGAGTGGCTTCATTTCCCCTAAAAGTACTTGATGTTCTACAAATTTGTAAACATTACAATTTACAATCTAGATTTCGTTAAACCTACCCTTTTTATTTTAATAAACTGTATGTTTGTGTATTCTATGCATAGTGAGAAATGATAGAACTCTACTATATATGGTTGTAGTGCTACAATCTAAAACCATCCAACTGCTTCTAGAATTGCACTAGCAACATTTTTGTGCAATAGAATTGAACTATCCTTTGTGCAGTTGTATTTCCTATTTGAACATTCTCAATCTCAAATATGATCTAGATATCCCTTCTCTCATTCTTGTTGAAATATAAAATTATATATAAATAGCAAGGGAAAACAGAGGTTGTAAATTGTAAATTGTAATCTTTGCATGATTTTAGTGTTAAATTATAGTGCTACTTTTTCAGTTTACCTGTTTAGTTGTATGTAAAGATCATGCAAAGAGTTGGGGTTCACATTACTTAATTTCTTTATTTTCTGCTTTTTATTCTCTTAATTCTGTCGATGTGTTGGGTAGGGTAGGGAACTACCACATCAAATTTTATTTATCTGACAGGCAAATTTGCCATATAGCATATTCAATTAAAATTTGTGGGTAAAAAGTATCAAGTATGCCTTTCTACCTGTCTAACTGGGAACTGTTAATGCTAGAATTATTGTTATTATTCTGGTTGCTTGTTACATATTAATCCAACTTTTTTTTTTTCAATGTTTATGTGTATTGGCCTAATGCTCTTCTGTTGTACTCAGGCATTACTGCACTCTTCACACATGTACCATGAAGCTACACACTCATTTGCCCACCATGGTGTGAAGTTTTCTTCTGTTGAGGTTGATTTACCTGCTATGATGGCCCAAAAAGATAAAGCTGTGTCTAACTTAACAAAAGGTATTGAGGGTCTATTGAAAAAGAACAAGGTGACCTATGTCAAAGGATATGGTAAGTTCCTCTCACCTTCTGAAATTACGGTGGACACTATTGATGGAGGTGAAACTGTTGTCAAAGGGAAAAATATTATAATTGCCACTGGTTCTGACGTCAAAGGTCTTCCTGGGATAACCATTGATGAGGAAAAAATTGTATCATCTACTGGCGCTTTAGCATTAAAGGAAATTCCTAAGAAGCTAGTGGTTGTTGGAGCTGGGTATATTGGACTTGAAATGGGCTCTGTCTGGGGCCGACTTGGCTCAGAGGTCACTGTTGTTGAATTTGCACCTGAAATTGTTCCTAGCATGGATGGTGAAGTTCGCAAACAATTTCAACGTACCCTTGAGAAGCAGAAGATGAAATTTATGCTTAAAACTAAGGTGGTCTCAGTTGACAGTTCAGGTGATGGTGTTAAGTTGACACTTGAACCGGCAGCTGGTGGTGATCAGACTGTTCTTGAAGCTGATGTTGTTCTTGTTTCTGCTGGTAGAACTCCATTTACTGCAGGGCTTCAATTGGACAAAATAGGAGTTGAAACTGACAAGATTGGTAGAATCTTGGTTAATGAACGCTTTGCCACTAGCGTACCCGGGGTCTATGCCATTGGTGATGTTATTCCAGGTCCTATGTTGGCTCACAAGGCAGAGGAAGATGGTGTCGCATGTGTGGAATTCATTGCAGGCAAGGAAGGCCACGTGGACTATGATATGGTTCCCGGGGTTGTGTACACACACCCTGAGGTGGCCTCAGTTGGAAAAACCGAGGAACAAGTGAAGGCACTTGGAGTCAGTTATCGTGTTGGGAAGTTCCCTTTGATGGCAAACAGCAGGGCCAAGGCAATTGATGATGCTGAGGGACTAGTCAAGATCCTGGCTGAGAAGGAAACCGACAAAATATTGGGCGTCCACATCATGGCACCAAACGCAGGAGAGCTCATCCACGAGGCCGTGCTGGCATTGCAGTATGGAGCATCCAGCGAGGACATTGCTCGTACATGTCATGCCCATCCAACAATGAGCGAGGCTCTTAAAGAAGCTGCCATGGCAACTTATGACAAACCAATTCACATTTAGAAAGTTGATGATATATTCTGTGTTTCTTGGTTTTGATATTTTTTTTGAAATGACATTTAGCACAGTTTTTGCTAATATGCCTCACCACCCAAGTAGATAGTGGTTGAACAGAAGTTTGCCACTTTCTTTGGGATTAAAAGTGCACTGATGTGGAGGCTTCTTTGTTTGCATTTCTGTCTCTATTCATACAAATAAAAATATGAGCTGATGTACAACTTTATGGTGATTTTTCTTTTTTTTCATCCAAATAAGTTCTTTTTATTTTTATTGGTGGTGACTGGTGAGTATTTATATATGCAGTTAAAAAAATATATATTTATGTATATCAAATACAATATTTAATATGCTAGTATAATACTAATAGTTCTCTTTCTCTGCCTTTCATCCACAGTTCAAATTGCTTAGGCCGCAAAATGTTGGTTTACGATTGGTTGTTGGACTGCTGGTTAATCTCTGACCAATCAAGTCTGGATTTGGTGTGCACAAAAATTTATGCTCAAGATTAAAACATTGATAAATATAAATAATATATATATATATATATATATATATATATATATATATATATATATATGCAAATAATATATGTATTATATAGCCAATGACCTTGTGATCTAGTGGTACGAAGTGACTCTCCCATATGGGAGGTCATGGATTCAAGTCTCGATAGGTTGAGAAAGGCTGACCACTTGGTAGGGGTACTGGTCACTTGTTATACCATGAACTAGGGTTCATATTGCATTGTGAACCTTAGAATATAAAAATTCTGTACCTCAGTTAACACATTTTGTACCTATAATTAGCAATTTCTGTACATTAAACAAATAACTTGATAATTGCTGATATATAATATGATAACTATAGGTACAGAATGTGTCAACTATAGATACATAATCCAATTGTTATTTTTTGACCAAGATGTACAATACAAAGTAGGCCATGGTCCAGGTACATTTTGCTGGTACCAGTACCCAAAGTGATTAAAAAAATAGAACAAAATGGTAGGAGAGATAATTTCATCAATTAGAATGTAAAGTAGTATTTTGGGCGAAATACATTCAATCAACCAATTCCCAAACACTGACTTTTTTCAAATTCAACCGATTGATACTTACCAATTAAGCTCATTCACATTTCAAAAAATAAAAAAAATAAAGCTCATTCTATATCCCAATTCCCAAGTAGAATATTTATCAAATATTCAAGTTTATCCAAAATCTAAAAATTAATTCTAATTTAGAAGTTTCATTGTATTAAATACTATAATAAACCAGAATAAGAAACCGTAACGAAAAAATAATATCCAAATGGAAGAGTATCAGAGTATGAAACGCACCAAATGTTTTTTTTCCTTATAATCCAAATATTTACACCTATAAATAAGAAACAAAAACAGACAAAAAAAAAATCACCAACCAACCAACACACAATGGCGTTTCCCCACAAACTCTCGACATTCTTCTTCGCTGTCTTGGTGGCTGTCGTCGCCGCCACGACCGTGACGGCCGACTTGGTCGACACCGTGTGCGGCAAAACACCGCAACCCGCGCTATGCACACAAACCTTAAGAGCCGATCCTCGTTCCAAAGACGCAGACCTTAACGCCCTCGGACTCGTCGCAATAGATATTGCGACGAACGAGGCGAAATCGGGACAGGCCCTCGTCCAGTCCCTCCTCAACGGCGCCACCGACCCGAACCTCAAAGAGATATACTCGTCGTGTGTGGAGCATTATACCAACTCCGTCAATAGTCTCGGGAAATGCCCGGATTTGTTGAGGTCCCGAGACTTCACCCGCCTGAACATTCAGGCTTCGGCGGCGCTGGATAATCCGGGGAATTGCGACGAAGAGTTTTCTGAAGGCTCCGCGGCTGAGCCACCGCAAGTGAAAGATACGAGTAGTAAGTTGCAGGAGTTTTGTAATATTGTTTTGGTTATTAGCAGTCTGTCGAAAGGGGCATAAGCCTATTACACATGTTGGTGTTATTATATTGTGGTCGGAGAAAGATGCATGCATGGTATTTAGTATCCATTATTAATAATAATGTTTCTAATTTTGGTCGTTAAATATCAACTTGTTCAAATTTGATTTATAATGTAGTGTACTACGTTGGTATTTTTATAATTTTTACTCCCCCACTCATATTAGGTTGAAAAAAAAAAACAAAAGATACAAAATAGAGTAATATTATTCACCCATACAAAATTTTTCTTCATGAGTTTACCTCGTGAAATGACATTATTTGTTTGATGAATACATTAACATTTTATTAAAAATTAGCGGGATTAGTCAATTCATATCATCTAATGATTATATGCTATGTCAACAGAGTGTTGAAAGTATTTTCCTAAAAAAAATAACATATTTTGGGATCAGAAGGGAGAGGAGACAAAGACAAAGTTCGTCCTCATTTGGCCCTGTGGATATATGGCCATAATTGTTTGTGGTAGCAACCACAATTATAGCGGACAACTAGTCAAATTAATCAGAATATTCACTTGATAATACAGAGTAATATTTACTAGTGATTGTGGGTTTTACTTATATCAAACATACAATAATACAAGTGGCTTCCTCCGCTCGGTATAAAAACCTTAAGAGCCAATCGTCATTCAAAAAACGCTGACCTTAAAGGCCGGATCGTCAAAATTTATGTTGCGACGAAACAAGCCAAAAAGGGACAAAGCCTCGTCCAATCCCTTCTCAAACGCGCCACTCTGAAAACTCAAAAACATATATTCGTCGTGTTTGGCGAAGTATTCGATCTTGTAATCTTAATAGACAAAGGACCCTAAAGAGATAAATCCTAAAGGCTCCCCACACCCAACCCTCAACCCTTATAGTTTATATAAGGAATCAAATTTGGGACATTATATTATTGTTACCAACATTCATCATGGCAGGTTAATTCTATTGTACCTGCACGGGCTTAGCTCAATGGTTTAGTGGGCAGTATTTGGGGTAAGAGACCAAGGTTCGAACATCGGCGGCGGTAGTGTGGGAATTATGTTCAAAGTGGGCAGATTCCTTGTGCGCACCGGCATTTGGCCCTGTCTACTAACCCATTGAGTCACCGTGATTTACATCCTCCCACATGCTCTGTCGGGTTGGGGATTCAGCCTTTTGGGGTAATAAGGTTAATTCTATTGTTTGGTAAATTGTGCCTAATTTATTCGCATATTTTTGTCATGTATTATAAATGTATCTAAATCCAATTTATGTCATGATTTTTTTTTTTTTTTTTTTTTGTGTGTGTGTGTGTGTATACGCACGCTAATAAAGGTATACATTTTATTTTAAATGTTGTACATCTCATTTTATTTGACAAAATTATCCTTATAATAAATCCATTGTATTGCTATTAGCTTACACATACATCTATCATATCATTTTTTCTTATTTTTAATTATCATTTATTATAATTATTATCATATAACAATTACTTTAATTGTAGATTATATTTTAATTAAATATCTATGAATGTTAAATCTTGTGTATAATATATATATATATATAGAAAGCGTCTAACACATAATACGTCATACAATACCATATAAAAGTACACACCAATACACTGAACGGAATGTGTGCATGTACACATATACCAATGTGCATGCACCAATACCCCCTAACCTTTGACGGCTATGGCAAGCGAATATAAATTTGGGCGTTAGGAAGACGGCGTTACGAGAGAGTCCAACTTACGACTCAGAAAATTAGAGTACAAAGATCCAACGAGAATTGCTCACCTTCCACTCACGTACAACATTTGAAGTTCCTAAACTAACCTTGCTCACCCAAAATAAAACCAAATCAGCGAAAAAAAGCTATTAAAAAATATTAAATAATATGAACCGTAGATTAAATAAAATAAAGGGTTTAGATTAGTTCCTATGTTCCTACCTAAAGATGGGTTCCTATATGATTGTAGTTATATATATATATATATATATATATATATATATATATATATATACAAATATATGTGGGTGTTAGTTTTGTATTTAAATTTAGTTGTTTTATAAGTATATAATCTATAAGTAAATTGGAGTTTATTAAACTTTTTAAAAAAATTAAGGGTTTATATAAATATTTTTAATAATTTTTTTTTAAAGATTTATTGGAAGGGGATACCCAGGTATTTTTTTTTTTTTAATAATTTGATAGGGTAATTAAATATTTTAAATAATTTAAATGCTTATTTGAGCGTTTCAATTCCCCTCGAAATTGTATTGATGTTTGACTAACTTAATGCATTAAAGTTTTTGTTTTTTTTTTTTTTTAATTGTTTTGTTTTGTTTTGTTTTTTTTTTGTTTGTTTGTTTTTGTGTGTGTGTGTGTCAATAAGCATAAAATTCTCAAACCCGTTTCTTGTTTGAACGTAGTACATAAACAACATAACTGCACCCTTCCCATCTATAATAACAATAATAAATGGCGAAATTGCCCGCATGGGTAGCTCAACTGGTCATAGAGGTGAAACTTTGGAAGAATGACCAGGGATCGAGTCTCACCAGTGAGGGGGGCTCCTTGTGCGCAGTGAGCACCGGTCTAGCCTCTGTGATTAATGTTGATTTACAACCTCCCGCCGGGGTGTGGGGGGCCCTTAGGGTTTGGAAGAATAACACCGGTCTAGCCTCTGTGATTAATGTGTTCAGTTGAGTCACCATGATTTACAACCTCCCGCCGGGGTGTGGGGGGCCCTTAGGGTTTGGAAGAATAGGGGCCCTTAGGGTTTGGAAGAATAACACCGGTCTAGCCTCTGTGATTAATGTTCAGTTGAGTCACCATGATTTACAACCTCCCATGATTGCAATCGATGTGTGATTTCTATACAACCTCCCACCGCTTTGTCGGGGGTGTGGGGGGCCCTTAGGGTTTGGAAGAATAATAAATGGCGAAATCCCATGATTGCAATCGATAGACACTGCAGCCTGCGAAAAAAAAACTATGGATAAATTCGGTCTTGTAATCTTAATAGACAAAGGACCCTAAAGAGATAAATCAACCTAAGTCTAGTCAAGAAAGTTAATAAACATCCCGCTAAAAATTGAATTTGCAAGTAAACGGTCTACCTCTCTGTTTTAATTTGGTCATTCTATTCTTGTGTATTATTGTCCCCTTTTGAATAGGTGTTAGAGTTCTGCTATCTGTACTCCCAAATTTTATTCCTAGGGACCCACATAATGAACATAGTCAATCTTTATTTGTCTCAAAAACCGGTATCTTTCGTGTCTGGAAAAGTACGATGAGTCCGTTGACCGTTGGGGAAGATGCCCTGAATTCTTGAGGAAGAAAGATTATGGAAGCTTGAACGTTTATGCAATAAATTGAAGGGATCGGAGCATGATAACATGAGACTTTAGAATAAAAATATATATTTTTAATATTGTTTCCAAAATGTTTAATTAAGTAAAATTAATTTGGAAGTTTTTGAAAATATATTGGAAAGTTCTTAGAATAAAATTAATATAATATTTTTAATATTGATTTTAAATGTTTAATTAGATAAATAAAATAAAAGGCATATTATTAATATTAATAAAAATTAAAGAGGTGTAGCAGTGTTTCGAATGGTATTCAATATTTAAATAAAACAAACAAAATATTAATTACAAGGCATTATAGTAAAGTGAATAAATTTTTAAAATAATATATAAATAGCATGGGCTCGATTCGGCCTTATTTATAATATTTTGATATTTTATTATTTAATAATTTAATAAACTAATTAACATTGGTAATATGTCATGGTGTATAATAAGGTGATACATACTTACGTGATGTGGCAATGATAATGAGAAAGAAGACAATCACGAGAGTAAAATTATATATTTTTAGAACTTTATATACACACATCTTTCTCTAAAAAAAGTGTCCGAATATTCCAAAAAAAAAGTTACGTTTTCATAAATATACTTTGTCTATCCCTAAAAAAAGTTTGGAAACTTAAAAAAAAAAAAAAAATTCCGTTTATAACTTAATTAGTTATTACCTAAAATATAAAGTACCCTACTTTATTAATATTCATTTATTACGGTTGCTATTTAAATTTTAAAATAAATAGTAATTAAAAATTTAAACATAAATACTGATTAAGATACCAAATATATTTGCTTTCTATATAGTTAATTTCCAGTCTTACCATTCTAAGACAGACCTCCAACCTATAAAAAGATGGCAACCACCGCGACGAATAACACAAAAGTTTTCCAGAAAACTCGTCGCAAATGGCTTTTACTCACAACCTCCGTTTTCTGTTCGCCGTCATTCTAACCATCTCCGTCGCAAACGTGACGGCGGATTTAGTCGACGATATCTGCGCGAAGACACTGCAGCCTGCGACGTGCACGCAACTCTTGCGATCCGATCCTCGTTCCAAAACCTCAGACCTCGTAGCCCTAGAAACCGTCGCAATTGATGTAGCATCTGTGCAAGCGAATTCGGGACAAAGCCTCGTTCAGTCGCTTCAGAGCGGCGCCACCGACCCAAAACTGAAAGAGATATACTCGTCGTGTTTGGAGAACTACGGCGATTCCGTGGATAGTATCGGGCAGTTACCGGGCTTTTTGAAGTCCAAGGATTATGGAAGTTTGGGGTCGTACGCCTCTGCCGCTCTCGACGGACCGGCAACCTGCGACGAAAACTTTTCGAGCTCTTCTCCCGAGCCGTCGCAATTGAAAGACGGTAGTGTGAAGCTGCAAACAATTTGTTCTGCTGTGTTAGCTATTAACAATAACTTGAGTGGACAGTGAAGTCGACGATAGTATAATTGTAAGGCCTTAGCTTGCTAGCTATATATATCTTGTTATGGCTTTATAATGATTATTATATATATAACGTTTTTAATTTGTTACCCATATTTCTTTTAATGATGGAATGATATGCAATTTTATTTAATATATGTTAGTTTTAATTAAAACATACAAAATGCATACACAGATAAATAAAATAATCGTTAACAATTTAAGTTACGTTGTGATGAGTACTACATAGGCAATCAAGCCAAGCCAACTCTAAACAAAGTTGCCCGCATGGGCTTAACTTAACGGTTGAGTAGACAGTATTTGAAGAAGAGATCAATGTTTGAATTTTGGTAGCTACAATGTGGAAATTAGGCTCAAAATGAGTAGAGACAATTATGTTCAAAATGAACATATTCATTAAGCCCTATCTGAATTACCGTGACTTTAGGATGCTCTGTTAGGTCGGTGTGAAACCCTTGAGGTTGAAAATTCAACCTTAGTCTAAACAAAGGTTGTGTTTGGTTGGTGGGTTTTGCACATAGGAATGGGTATGAAAGTGATTGTTGTTGTTTGGTTGATAGGTTTTTAGAACACTACTATGGGTTTCGAATACCCCATCAAAAAACTCATACCCAAATACATTAAGGGTTTCATCCCCTTATTCATTCTCAAGCACTACTATTAGTAACCATTCTCATTCCACCCTACTACCAAACATGTTAAATATTTTCACCAAAACTCATTACCATTACCAAGTATTTGATACCTATACCGATTCTGATTCCTATGTGCGAACCGAACACACCCAAAGTGTCTTTAATTTCAATCCCTCTGGACTCTCCTCTCAAAGTTTTAGTTTCGTTGAGGCAAAGTGAATTACTGATGACTCATGACGACACTCGTACCCAAATTGCTTTTTGACCACTTTTAATCATTTAAATTATGGATTCCGTGAATTCGTGACAATTAATTAAACTTATTTGTGAAAATATTACCATTTAAGAATAATCAAGAGAGCTTATGATAAGATTTTGTGGTCAAAGTGACATTAATTAACATTTAATTTTAGGTTAGGACGTCAAAGGTTCAATTCCAATGTATGACTTTTGTTGAATTTTACAGGGTGTTTAGTTGGAAGGAATTGCAATTTCTCCATTTTCGTGGAATTAAAATCCTATGTCCCCCTTAGATTTTAGGAAGAAAAAAGCTAGTGATGAGACAAAATTATCCTTCTTTTTTTTTTTAATATAAAATTAATACCACGACATTTTGAGCTTTATACTACTTATTCCCTTTCAATTCCCATGTATACCAAACATTGGAATTGAAATTCCCCCAGTAATTCTATTCCTATAAACCAAACACTGGAATTTAAATTCTCAATTTATTCCCAGTAATTCATCTTTTAGGAAATCGCAATTCCTTTCTCACGTAATTCCCCTTCTCCAACCAAACACCCTGTTAGGGTGTGTTTGGTTCATGGTTTTACATATCAGGAATGAGAATCAAAATTATAGTTAGTGTTTGGTTGATAACTTTTGAAAACACAAACATTCATAACTTTTTTAATAACACATGACTGTTAGAGACTCTTTGAAATTCTTAATCGAATATCAACCTCCTTTTAAAGATTGCCTAAAAAATAAAATTGAATACATCCAAACTTTCAAAATTCATAAACGTCTTTAAAATAAAAATCTATAAAAGTCATGATCGAATACACTCCTTAATTCTAATTTAGAGATTTCATTATATTAATAAGGGAAAATGGTAAAATAGATCCCTAAACTTTACGCCAAAAGTCAATTAGACACTCAAACTCTTTAAAAATACAATTAAATCCTCAAAAAGGTAGACCCGAGTCAACAGAATAATTTGCATGGACCCGGGTCCACAGAATAATTTGCGCTAGATACATCCCAAATTTTTACATGGTCACCCAGGCTTAGCACACTTATATTTATTAAAAGTTTGAAATAATAATTTTAGAAATTTGTTTGTCAACAGAATAATACGTATAACAAACGCGACGACATTGCCATTCGTCAACCTCTAGCATCCATGTTTGTAATCCATTCAAAACCTAAGGTGATACATGCACGGGAAAATCGTCAACTTTATTTCAATTCGTCTCTTATAAATCCAATTCAACTCAATCGATCAAAACAATTAGGGGGCATTTGCACTTCAAAAAACTCCATACATTTATACTCAATCGATCACATTCATCAACCTTATTTAAACCAAAAAACCGAAAGAAAAATGGCTTACATTCACAATTTAGTGGCTTCTACATTGGTAATTATTTTCGTCGCATTTGCATGCACAAATGTGACGGCGGCCAATTTATCTGGTGCCATCTGCGCCAGGGCGCCGCATCCTCCCAAATGCATGGAAGCCCTAAGATCCGATCCTCGCAGCAAAACCGCCAGCCTTGTAGGCCTGGCCGTCATCGCCATTGAAGCATCCACCAAGCAGGCCAAAGTCACGCGCGGCCTGGTGCAAACGCTGCTCAGATCGGCGAAGAATCCTCGGCTCAGATCGAGATACTCGTCGTGTTTGGAGAACTATGAGGACTCCATTGATGCGCTTGGGCGGTGCTTGGAGTTCTTGAAGAACAAGGAATATGCAAGCCTGGATTCCTACGCCTCCGCAGCTTTGGATTCTCCGGTCACCTGCGACGACGATTTTGAAGAACCGCCGGTCGAGTCTGGCAAGCTCAAAGCTGCCAGTGCGAAGCTGCAAGATTTTTGCGATGTTATCTTGATTGTTAGCAGCAAATTGAGCGGACGGAAAGTCGAGTAATATATATGTGTGTGTATATATATATTCCCAGTCTACATGTGAAGTGATATGATTACAATGCTATATTATCGCCAAATGAATATGAATACTAATGAATGCCTTTGTCATTAAAAGAGTATGATAAAATGTGATCTAGGGTAAGGAGTAAACTTTGCCTTGTGATTCTAATCACAAAGAGGTAAATCAGTTTTGTTCATATCTGATCAATGTTATAGAAAGTCTTAGTCCTAGTCAAGTCTTCACATGGCGCCTAGAGAAACAAAAATGTCCATGACTCCGCGATTGACATTTTGTCAATTTCTAGCGAGGTTGACCGGTGACGACAAGGCAACTCAACGTCTGTGACAACGAGGATGTGACTCTATGACAAAGCAACTCAACAATTGTGACAACGGGGATGTGGCTATATGACAAGGCAACTCAACAATTGTGACAACGAGGATGTGACTATATGACTGCGACAACAAAGCAACTTAGCGACTGACAACGAGGATGTGACTGTGACGACGATGACTCGGCAAGGCTTAGGTTTTGTGGTGCAAAGTGCAACTGTGGAGAGGGCGAGGGAGATTTGCCGTTTGCAAGTTTGGCAATTTTTCCGTCCAGGGATCAAAACGACATGCATCGTTTTGAACAAAACAAACCAATTAAGAAAAAGAAAAAACACTCCACCAAATTGGCCAAGTTGGGCGCCTAGGCCAGCTAGTTGGCCAGGCGCCTAAGGCCGGCAAGTTGGCCAGGCGCCTAAGGCCGGCTAGTTGGCTAGGCGCCTAAGGCTGAAACCCCCTCGGTCTAGGAACGCTTAGGCCAATTTACAACATTGTAGTTGATTGTTAAATCAAGAAGGCCAATAGCCTGATCAACTTGGCTTGGGATTCACTCCAATGTTCGAGAATTTTGCCGGTTGAATAACTAGGACAAATAAAGCCCATCAAATTATTAAAAGAGTAATAGAGCCAGAATCCATACAGATATTACACTAATGCAAAACACAGTCACCATTGAACTCAAAACAAAAGTGTTTCAAGAATTCCAAGCTTCATAGCTGATGAGAGCAAGCAAACCTCATATTCTCTTTCTGCAAATTACTCAACTCAGAGCTGGACTGGTGCAGGCTTGTAGTCAATGATGAGAACTTTCTCCAATTGCGGAAGGAGTTTGTTCGCGTACTCAACATGATCGGGGTGAGCAATGTACTCAGCAACACCTTCACAGCTCTCGAAACTCGATTCAAACACATGAGTGAAGCCTTGGTGAAGGTTCTCTATGCTTACATCTTTACCCCTGCAACAAACAATCAGACCCACATTAATTATATACATGCCATTTCATAACTTTGGTACATCTAAAGAAGAATAAAGGAATGCTATTAATTATATACATGCCGAGTGGAAGGACCAAAGGAACAATCTGCCTGAAATTCTCCATACAATCAACTATTTATGAATTTGTTTGCCATTAATTCATTTTCTGGTGTAGCAGGTTCAGAGTTTCCCCCATTATCAGGGGTTTAAAGAATTAAAGAGAAAAACAAGTCCTCTACTTGGATTCTCCCAATTATCCTAATTCTCCAGTAGAAATAATCAAGATTTCAACCTGGTCTTGTTTCTGATTATTAGAACATAACCACAAGTCCATCCAACAATAATATGATTTCGTTTTTGTTACATACAAATCTATTGACATCAGAATTTCCCCTTTTTATATAATCAAAATCAGTCACACAAAACCAATAAATCGTGCATCAAGATTGAGTGAATTTCACCAACAATGCTGGAAATTTCCAATTTTTAACCCTACCCAGAGAGAAAAAAAGGACTTTTCAATTTCCAAAACCAAGAAAAGGATGCTGAACAGAAATTAAAGTTGAGAAATTGAAAAGAACGAAAGAAACAAATCTTTTTTTTTCATTGTTTGAAGAAACAAAGTTGAAGGGTTTTTGATGAATCAAAAGGAGGAGATGGGATGTTAAAATACCAGCGGAAAGACTTCATGGGTTGGATGAGATTGACGAGATTAGCGTATTGTTTGATAAGCTGATCGATCTCTTCTTGGGGGATCCCATCTTTGAACTTGCCCAGCACAATGTGCTTCACTTCTCCTCCTTTAGATGCCTCACCGTCCGCCATTAAACTTCCCTTTCCCTCTTCTCACCGCAACAAGACTTTGGTGGATCGGAGTCTATCAAGTGTCAACCAAAGGGTTAGTATGGTTAATGGGGCAATTTATATCGTGCAATGTGCACCCAGACACAAAATGCGTATTTCATGCTGATGTCTTTACTTACGTCACTTCGTCCATCCGAACAGATCAAATTTCATTATGTGTATTCAGTTAAAAATTTATGTGTATTGTGTTATGAGTTTATGTGTATTCAGTTAAGAGTTTATGTGTATTATGTTAACCAAACTCCATTATGTGTATTCAGTTAAAAGTTATTGTGTAATGAGTTTATGTATATTCAGTAAGAGTTTATGTGTATTATGTTAACCAAACTCTATTATGTGTATTCAATTAAAAGTTTATGTGTATTATGTATTATGTAGATTATGTGTATTTTGTTATGAGTTTATGTATATTCTGTTATGAGTTTATGTTCATTCAAAACAAAAGATTTTTTTTTAACAACTTAACAAAACGACGTCGTTTTGGGAGGCGCGGGGCGCACATTGCTATGTGCGCCCTGGTGCACGGTATAACGATTGGGTTAATGGTTACCCAATTAAGGATTAAATAAATTCCCTACCAAATAAAAAATAAAAAAAATTAAAGATTGTTATAAAGATTAATTATTGTGGACATTATGAGGATTGATTGTGTAACGGTTAAATATTTATGTTTAGCATTATTGCTTTCTATTATTGCTTTCCGTTACAAGTGTATATTATATATATAATGTTGTAATATGTAGAAATAGATGATGAATCAAAAAATCCCTCTTCATTCTCTGTATTTTCCTTCTTCTTGCTGTTTGATTTTACAAGGATTAAATTGACCATAGATTTTATCACATGCTTTGCCACGTCAACGAGTTGAGCGGTTAAGATTGATGACATGGGAGAGGTGTGGACTGTGGAGGGAAGAATATGAAGTGGCCTGGGATTGTGAATTTGGAAGAATTGATTTTATTTCTATGGTTTTCAACTTTCAACCGTCACCCAAATAACATACAATATAATAGAAGAGTATAACACATAATTTAATGTAATATACATATTTTAATAATATAAATTTAACCGAGTCCAAGTAGCAGGTACTGATAACACACTATTGGTTTCCAATCCATCATTTTTGTCATATATCACCCCGAGTCCACCCTATTATATAAGTCCGTGTGAACAGATCTGAGTCATTGAATACTTGAAATCAATGACTTAAATTTAACCAACTGTGCAACTTCACAACCGTACTGTGCAATTCACTTGCACAGTTGGTAAAATTTAAGTCATTGATCTCAAGCATCCAATGATCCAGATCTGTCCACACAAACTCATATAACAGGATGGACTCATTTGATCACTAGTATATATATATATATATTGCACTGGCCTGTAGTTAGATTCAACAAACAACAAAAATTCGGAAAATTGTAATGATTGCTAATTGAACAACATATTATATAGTAACCCAAAAAAAAAAAAAAAAAAAAAAAAAAAGTATAGGCGAAAAGGCAAGAGAAATGGCACAAAATTAGTAACGAAACAAAAGCTGAGAGAGGCAACAACAGAGGGGACGAAGCAAAATGTTGAGCAAATGTAATCTTCTGCACGCATTCAAAACCCCTCACCTCATATTTGTGCCTATCTACACTCATTCTTTGCTGCGTGCTAACTAGCTTTCTCATTTGTTCGACTTTTTGTTTTTCTTTTGTTTTTGCTTTAGTTGAGTAAGACCAGCAGAAGTGATTTTCACATTTCCGATAATGGCTGCAACAAGCTCTGGATCTGTGCATGCCTTCATCAATTCCTTCTCTCTGCTTGTAGCCTCCGGCATATGATTAAACAAGTTCATTGATGTTTTTGCCGCTGCCAAAATATACAAACCAACCATATGCATGCAAGGATGATGAGTTGAATATTTGTAAAACAAAATAAAAGAGCAACACAGAAAAACTATATATTTGAAATAAATACCTACCTTTTCCTTTCTTAACAGAACCGGGAACTAACTTGACGCGGTATTTGTACGACTGGAGAGCGTTATAAGGTCCACAAACAGGAACAGCGTACAGGAGAATATCATCTGCCAATGGAATGCCAGTCAGATAGTCCACATCATTCAATTTCTCTTTCTCCTCTTCACCAATCTCATGAATATCATCCTCCTCCATCGGTATAGTATCTCTTTTATGGGCAGTATTTTGAACACCAATTTGGGAGAGATCCCCACCATTTGCAGTACTCTGTACAGCTTCATCTGGAAGCTCTTTACAATCCTTAGACAAATGACCAGCCTTCTTACACTTGTAACATATTTTTGGAGCATCATCGACCTGCTTCGGTTTTGTTACAACCTCTTTTGCAGCTTTTTCATCCTCTAATGCTTTTTCATCCTTTTGGACTTTCCCAGCAGGCTGAAACATTCATTGAAATGGTTAGTGCCTTGCATTAGAACTGATAAACCAATCAACAAGCATTATCTTCTAGTGAGAACTTATGTGTCGCTTGAGAGAAGTATACATGCCATGTAATCTTAAAGGACTAAACTTGAAAACAAAAATATCGAACATAAGATCAAACTGTACGGCTAAGTAAATTATTAGAGAGAATAATTGCAATACTTACAGCCAATAGAGCCATCCGAATGCTCCGTTCCTCCTCATCCTGATCTGCATATTTCTCTTTTATCTTCTTGAGCTTACTCTTTTGCCCCCGGCTGATTTTTGCGCCAACAGGCTTTGCATGGTTGGCATTTTTATGATTCTCTGTGCCAAGCTGCTCTTCTGCTTCTTTCCCATGCTCAGCAGGTTGATCCTCGGTGCCGTCTTTTTGTCCTTTCTTTAGCTTTCTTCTTTCAGCTTTTGAAACAAAGGGTTTATCTCTCAGTGTTACCTTTTTCTCTTCATTATTATGCTGCTCTGGTTCTGATGAAGAAGGAAATCCTTGCTTTTTAGTAGAAGATCCAATCTCAAGAGCTCTATCAATAAGATCCTCTAACTGTGGTGTAACTGAAGAAACCATTTTCCCAGCAGAAGCAGACACATCATAGTTGGTTTCATCGCCATTATCAATACCAGAGTAATGTGAATCACTAGGCTTATCATCAGACACATTCAGGCCATTACCAGATTGAGTTTCAGAAGACAACCCTTCGAAACTTGATTTATTTCTTGACAAATCTAAGGTATCTTTTGAATCTACTGCACCTTTGTCAGCTGAAACCTCCTCATCAGATTCAGAACCAGGAACTTCTTGGGAAGGTTCATCCTTATCAGCATCATTGGCTCCTTCCTCTTCACCTCTTACCCTCCTTTCATTCAAATGAGACCCTAAAGAACTCTCTTCCAAGCGAAACAATATTCCAAATCCCATAACAAGAGGGTGTGGAGGAAGAAAATTTTTTTTACCACGGATCATGAAACTTCCAACAGTAAGATATTCTCCAGTAGGAGCAGTTTTACTAACTTGATGAGGATAGACCCACCAAGCACTAGTAACTATTTTTGAGTCCCATGCCTGGCTGTAGCAAACCTGTATAGCAACACATATCAGTGACCATCTAACCAAAAATAGATCAAGAAAATTCAGGGACAAAGGGCAGCCATTCCGAAGGTCGAGTACTAGAAATTTGAGAACTTACAGTGTAGCATCCTGCTTGGTTCAAAGTGAGAGGAGGTATAGGAAAATCAGGCTTGTGATTCTTGATCACAGTGCTAGACGCTCCATGGAGATCAGCATGTACATACCTATATCATGGAAAATCATCAACCTCACAGCATAATAATGGAGAAAGGCTGAATAGCTCCCTAAGCATGCCCATATTCATGAATCAATACTAATACAATCACAAACAAGATATTAAACATCAAGTCACTATCTGAAATTTTCAGATCTTGTCTTTAAACATAATTAGAATTAGAAAAATTCAATTATCAATAAAAACTCAATCTGTCAAGAGGTATGGACAAATTAAGTTACTTCCTTTTTATACAATTTTTGTTTGGAAGTGTCAAAGAGAGTTTGATGTCTGACACATACCCCACTGAATTCTTGAAATTCTAGAGGCAGTATTTCATAGAAATTTACATTGGAAAGGTAGAAATTGTTAAGCAACATCAAATTTACTTACAAATCTCCTTTGGACATGTATCGCTTGACTATCATCTCATTCTGATGTGCATCACGACCACTTATAACCAAATAATTCTCGCTGCTAATGAACCAATTAAATTTTTCAAACCAATGAACTTTGCGGATATGTGAAATAGCAGCAACAGTTTTTTCCTGTAAATTTGTTTAAAGAAAAGGATCAAGCACTGAGTAGATAAAAAGACAAGCACTTGGTTTTAGTTGATTGTTTTTATCCTGCTTTAGAATTATTTTTTTAACCACTTTGATATTACCTTTGTCTTTTCCTTATGTTTAAGTCTATAAGGAAGCAGTCATAGATATTCAAGACACTCATAGGTCATTGGAGGAGCAGAGCAATTCAATAAACCATTTCTATGATTCTATCATATGTTAGCATAATCAAGCATCATGTCTAGTCTAGTATTAAGTAAGGGGCATATGTATGTGACTTAAAATGATGCTCTACCAAGCACACACACACAAAAGTTGCCAGTATGCAACTCCACTCCGCAATGCCCCCAGTTAGTGAGTTAGAGGAGGACAACCTCAACCAGGAAAAAAAAAAAAAAAAAAAAAGGAAAAGAGAGTGATAGCCCCACCAAATAAAAACAGATGGAAAGAACCATAGTGCTGTAGCCACTCAGGAGATTAACAACAAAATATTGTATGAAACAAGTGCTTACATGATAAAGCTTTTATGCCTTAGGGGAAACATAGCCAAAGTTAATGGAATGCAAAATCCCTTGGCAAAGAGGGGAATTTAAATAGCATATAACAAATACTAAGTCAATGACCCAACATTCCTAATTATATCTTTTGCTACCTGAGATAATTGTTGTCGCGTCTTTTTCTCAGCAGCCTTAAATGCTTTGTCATATGCAGTAACAGTTTTTTCTTGTTTATTCTCTTGCTTTTTCTTCATTTCATACCATCGCCTAGCATTTGCATGTGCCGAAAGTGATAGGTCAACTTCTACCTAGAAAAAGGAAACACAGTAATACAGCAATTAAAGCAAATTAACACAACAATCAATGGTTATCTTCTGTGTACTGTATTATGTTTTCTATGGGCTGAAAGTGGTAGATGAATTTCTACCTAGAAAAAAAGAAATTCAGTAACACAGCCATTAAAGCACATGAACACAACAATCAATGATTATGTTCTAAGTTTAGTTTTCATTTCTACAATTCCATTTTAAAGCTAAAATGCTGAGTGCTTGACAAATAATCTAGGATAATAACAGAAAATGATTTAATGTAAAATTATGGACCTTTCAAAAATATTTTGCTCAGCAACTCATGCCAGTATTCCTAAATTGATTAGGACTCTTAGCAATTCTAGTAACATCTACTCAGATAAACAGATATAGAAGTCATTGACTTTTACATAATATTACAAAAATGAAGATCAAAGCATTCTAAAAACACAAAAGGAAGCATTGGAAAAGCAGAGGGTTCAATCAAGCCATACTTTGTCCACAGGTTGTGTCTTTTCATCATCATCCATTTCATCAAGATTGTTGCTAAGAAGTAATGTCATGCAATTTCTTTCAAGATGCAACTTGTCAATAAGTCCTGCAACTGGATTCCCAGATTTCTTCTCCTCTTTCACCATACGAGCTAGATCTTCCCAACTCATTCCTTTTGCAAGTGCAACACGGACTGCTAAGATAGCAGCATCGACATCTTCCAAATTATATTCTATCAATTCTGCCATTTTAACACAATGCTCAACTTCGTTCTTCAGTGTTAAAACACGATTTTCCTGCAACATGTAAAAAAGAAATTTTTACTAACTGAAGTAACATTAAATGAAAATATCCACTGGTTCTAGTTTACCATATGAAGGAATATGCCAAATGCAAAAACACCATGCTTAATTGTATCAGAAAGTTGTTAAATTAGAATTACTTTGTCCACCATTATAAGATTTGTTCTAGTAACTGTTTTTTCATGTGAAGATATCTGAACATCCTCGAATTGTTCCTGTATTTGTGCAAACCTGGTCAGTGCGGATCTTACTGAGCTTCTGCATAGCAGAGCTTTCTTTGGCTTTTATTTGTTGCTCAACACGTTGACTTTCAATTTTAGTATAGAACTCATCTAATGCTGCATCAAATGTCTCAAACTTGGTAGAAACCCTTGACTTGAACTGATTCAGTAACAGTGGGCAGAATTCATCATAAATCTGCAGAATAAAAAAAAAATGTTCAGAAAGTAGGATGCATGTGCACATAGAGAATACAAATACAGGAAATAAAGTATAACCTTCTCAGAAGGTTCTGTTTCAGATATGGGGGTAGCCTTTTTAGCCAGAGTCTTTTGTTGCATTAGTATGTAACCTTCTGGAACTTTTTCACCTGATATAATGTCCTCCAACCAGTCCTCAAATTTTCTGACAGCCTCCATAAGAGAATTCAGAGCATCACATTCTAATTTAAAATCTTTCCCAACTTTTGTATTTGGAATTAAGCCAGCATCTAAAATCATATGTTCAGAAAGTGCTGGTCCATAGCCCAATGCCTCCCCAAGGATAGACTTTAAAGTTGCCTGCTTGGCACGGGTTCCATCATTTTTAGTAGATTCATTGATTTTTTTGCCTTTGCGGGCTGCTTTTCCTTCATGTGCATCAGAAGTATCAGTTTTGTGCTCAGTATTTTCTATAGATTCTTTTTCAGTAGATTCTGCAGAAAATAGCAAGGCAGCCTGTAACTTTTCACTGGTAGTCCTGTTAAAACTACGGCATATTTCAACTGGATAGTTGTGTCGTGACATAATAGCTAAGCCTTTATCATCATCTCTGCAAAAAGTGAGAGTTGCTGTAAGTCTGTAACTTATTTTTCATGTAGGAGAAAGCCTGATACACTAAACAGATTTTTTTTTTTTTTTTAAATTTTTGAAATAGTCACTATATGCTGCTTCTGAGAAAATAACAAACAGTAGCATCAGATCCACACTTATATATAAATGGTAAAAGTCAGAGGAAAGCTCAGAAGAAGCTTCCATAGAAGACGGACTTCTGAAGAGATAGGCTTTGGGGGGTGGGTAGATCAGTAGACCGTTGACTAGATGGCCAGAACTGAATAAAGCATCTAAACTTTATGTTGCGAGAAATCTAAATATCTAAACAGAGAATCTTGTGAAGACAAATTTAACGGTGGAAAAGGAAGGGAGATTGTGCCAGGTGCACATGAAAATCATGACATTGCACTTAGGCATGAATTGATACATCCTAAATATGGGCATTTCTGCCAATCTGCCAAAATCCTATATACGCAAATTCCACTAATAGGTGACAAGGGAGAAAAGATGGATGAAATAAATGTACCTGTGTGAACGTAGAAGTGTCAAGACCATGAAATCAGATTCTGTAAGAATGATATTTCCTTGAGCATATAGCTCTAATATTACATAGAAAGCATTAGCACCCAATCCAAACTGAAAGAGAATTATCTGTGAAAGAAGTGAAAGGCTCAAAACATGTAGAACCATAAAGTACACAGAGCAGACTTGAAATAAAATCACAAACAAAATGGCGTACCCTGTCATATCCAAGTTGTCTCACATCCTCAAGCCTTCTTGTTCTTATATGCTTCCTCAATTTAAGTGTAAACCCAGAAGGGGTGTTATTTTTTTCTCTACAAACAACAAAGAGAATTGCCAAGATTATACAATGTTATATAACAAGTGGTGCATGCTTAGTTGCTTTTTTGTCTTTTTACAGATATGTTTGCTTGGCTCTTTTTTGTTCTCTACAACAATAATTTTTTCCATAACAATTCATTGTTTTACTCATATTATATTCCACATTCCAATATTCTTATTTCCAGTTTCCTATGCATGTTAATTTGTAAACTTTGATTGAACTTCACATAAAATTGCTCTCCATATTTAAATTGGAGGAGGTGCAAAGACTTCAAATGTCTCCTCGACCTCAACTATGAGCAACTCCACCCCTATTCATTACCCAATTTTCCTACTCTAAACACATTTGAAGTTGTATATTTAAAGCATTAAGACATGAATAAGCTTCCTAAACATTAAACAATGGAAACAGCCGCAAAGGAATGGTCCTATATCCAGACAAAGGCCATCCTCTTGCCATCTAGTTTAGCTTATAGTTGTCAATCCATATTCCTTTTCATCAATCAAAGTCTCATACATCACCGAACAATTCAACTAAATCACATAACTAAAGGCTGAGATAAAGCAATAGTTTGTTTGCCAGTTGAGCTTTAAAAATGCAGAAATGTTGAGAAGCGAAAAGTAAAGAGCATGTAGGGAGAAGGAGAAGCAGCAGGTTAGGTTTATACCGGAGATAAGCAGTGGTGTGCAATCTGACCCCACTTTCCATCAACAACAAAACCTTCTCACTCTCCCCCGATTCCGTCATTCCGCTACTATTCGATAGCTTGAACACATAGGTCTGCAGTTGAAAAAAACCGCAATAGTTGGCAACATCCATACGGAAGGAATACCGCAATAGATAGAAAGAAATGGAGCATTGAAAAGTATACCTTGGGAGAGATGTCGTAGACGTTAGAGCAGCGCATGCCGATTAATCGGCGCAAGCATTTAACCTCGGCGGCCACATCGGCCGTGTTCATTCTCACCTTCACCATCGTTGAGTAATTATAAACTTCTTCTTCTTCTTCTTCTTTCTGTTAATAGAACTTTGATTCGATTGCGTATAGTTACGTATGAAGAGAGAGAGTCCTCCAATAAAATATCTAAAGTAAGGGAATTGAGAAACAACTTCAGCTCCCAAACATCAATCTCCCTCTCTCTCTCCCTCGTTCCTTTGTGAATCTTCGACCGTCAGAGGAAAGAAAATTCCCTACCGGAAATTAAAATTGGAAAAATATTTGCAGTTTGCCAGTTGCTGTTGCCTTCAGACAGACCGCCCGCCCGGGTAATTGACCTATTGTTGGACCGAGATTTTTACATGTGGGCTGAATTTTTGGGACTTTTAGTTGCTAAAAAGGGAAGCTGAGCCCAGTATGAGACCCAACTCTCCGTTTTGAACGCTTTAATGGTGCATACGGATGCAAAAACGACATCGTTTTATTAAAAATGCACGTCTCACTTAAAAAAAAAATTTAGAATCGATGAACTAAAATTCCAGAATCTATGAACTAAAATTTCAGAATGAATGAACTAAAATTTCAGAATCGATGAACTAAAATTCCAGAATCTATGAACTAAAATTCCAGAATGAATGAACAACATAATACTGCTGAAGGGAATCGAAACTGAATTTTTTTTTAAAGTGAGATGCACATTTTAATAAAACGACGTCGTTTTTGCATCCGTATGCACCATATGTTGCATACGGATGCACAGCATAACTATTGCACTTTAAGCCTCACTTACATTACAATATTACGCCCAACTTAGGATATCTCCAACCGGAGAGAAAATTCTTCTAAGCGACTTAGGAAAGTGATCAGTTAATAATCGATCCTTTTGCAACCCTTTTTTGTTAATTTAACCCATATTCCCTGGCTTTTGTTTTTTTTTTTTTTTTTTTTGGTCAGATCAAGAAATGTCCTGAGCAGACTCTAACTGTAAAAAATCACTTTTAAACCAGAATTGGCTCAATTAAAAGACAAAGTGCAGGAGAGAATTAGAACTCTCGATCTCTCTTAAGGAACAAGAGTGCGCGACCGTTCATGTCAATCAAGCTGGTTCCTAACTTTTGTTGTTGTGCACTCGCTGATACAATAAAGGAAGAGACAATAAGTCCTTTGTTTTATTTTATATTTTATAACGTTGAAAAAGAAAAGAGAAAAGGATCAAATAGGCCCTTAATGAACAATGTATTTTGATGCAATGAAGCCAAAATACAGATAAATGACCTGCTATCATAGGTCATTCCATATCCGATCACTTTCCGACACATTTTCAAACGAAAAAGTGACTGACGAACGGCCGCCGGTCACGTAGAAGGTGACACCTCCCAAATAAGACAACCCAGATCTGGATTGGCTTCTTCGGCGAGAAGGCCACCACAGAGAATGCAACCCAGATTCGGGTTGTCTTCTCCGGGAGGTGTCACCTTCTTCGTAACCGGCGACCATTCGTCGGTCACTTTTTTACCTGAAAATGTGTCGAAAAGTGATCGGATATAGAATAACCTATGATAACAAGTCATTTACCTATATTTGAACTTCATCGTATCAAAATGTATTGTTCATGGATGTAATTGCTTTTTTAAAAAATTGGAAGGCCTAATTGACTTCTTAGCAATAGTTTAAGGACCTATTTGACCCTTTTCCCAAAGGAAAATTCCTTGTAATGCCATTACCCCCACCAATCAGTATCTTAACAAATTTTCAAATTCTAAATCCCATTCAGTTTCAATTTTGACATATAACAAACCATAGGGAAAAATCCAGTCTTACATTCGCATTACTTGTAAATCCTTTCGGCTTTCGTATTACTCGTAGTATATAACCTTAGCGGGAAGACTAGAGAAATATGGAATATTAAAACCAATGCGAAAATTTTGTAATTTTTATATTCAAATGCAAGGTGAACCATGCACGGCACGTATTAGAACAATCTAAATTTTTCAGAATAAAATACATATATTAGTCAGATGATCATCAGCATCTAACTTCCTGTGAACTATGGAGAACTGAAATACTAAATCACTGCCCATAATAAAATTAATACAATTTGAGACCATTTTGTGCAGTGGCCTCGTATTTGAGTAATGGAACGGATATTTTACACTGCAGATTGCTGGCCTGCTTGGCCTGTGTAGATGTCCACTCAAGCAGGCAGGTGACCGATTCTTATCTTATTTACATTTGCTTGGGAGCAAGTCCTGAAGGCCTTCCCAATTCTGATGGCAGTCAAAAGAACTTAACGCCCGAATCACTTCCACGCAATGGGGATAATGCAATAGAAAGGAGATGCTACAACTCAATCAGCTCAAATCAAAACCCGCGTCAGCATTTATTGCGTATAGCAGTTTTTGCTCCATTTGTTCTTTGCTGATTGATATTATGTATATAAAAAAGACAGGGTAAGAGTCTAGAATGGGATGTGAAATCAAGATTCTGATACAAGGAAAAATGCTAAAAGTATCACAGTTCAGTAAATTGCTGGTCAAGAACTGACAAACCTTCTATATGGTGGCAGCTTTAAGAGATTCATGCAAGTTGCTGACGTTGGCAAACGATCAAGAGCTTCATCAGGCGTGTTCCCCGCAGCTCTATAGAAAATAAAAAAGGTTAAAGAAAATGAAAACTTGAAAGGAAATTTGCCTAGTCTAATACTACTCACCCATAGTCAGAATGTGAAACTCTTCATCCCCTACTGTTTTAAGAAATAAAGAAATATTAAAGCAGTCTTACCTCTGTATGCAGAATGAAGGTTCCAAGTATTTAAATCCAAGCAATGGTCCCCGAGAGCACCCTGTTACAAATCTAATACAGGAAATGTAAAGGGGACAACGTCAATGATAACATAAACATTAAATTTCCTTCTAAGTTTTCTATTACATGACCAATACTATTGCCAAACTTAAACAATTGAGAAATGACCATAATTCAGTATAAGACTATAATCTACAACACCCCACCCCCCAACCGGCAATCCCACCCCCAAACCAAAAAATAATAATTAAAAGAAAAAAAGGAGAGAAGCAAACAAACAAAAACCAAATGAAAACATTGGACTCAGGGTGCAATAATTGAGAAATGAACAAAGTTTTTAATCCCTTGGACAACTAATCACCAGTAGTTGGGAAAAAAGATGGAAATGGAAAGACTTACTTCAAAAATTTTCGCTGGTTTCCCAAAGAAAAGTTTTTGACAACCTCCCAAAACATCTCAATGACATAGTGATCCTGTCAAACAAGTGATGGTTAGTTGTGGACGAGCTGAAAAGGCCAGCTTCCTAGTATCCGACAAAAAGTAAATGTGAGAGCATTCTATACACAACTAATTTCAACAAATATCGAGTACAGATATTATCAACATATGAAACAGAACTGAAATCCAACTAGAGACTCTGAATAGTTATTCTAAACAATTAAAGTACCTTATGATAGCCACCAGTATAATTGGTATGAGCTCGAAGATTATCAACATCAATGCCATCAACTGACCCAGATATTAGAAGCTGTCAAGGAGGTAAAATGTTGAAATTAGTTAAGAAAATTAGAACTCTTACTCATAACATGAGCAGAAAACCTGGACCAAAACAAACATATTAAGCATTCTGGGTTACATCAATGAGAAGTATTGTTAAGAAAGTAGTAGTACTTGTCAGATTACTGATTAGGAATAGTTACAGCACCACTATGGTTCTCTATTGTATGATGTTAAGAAAGTAGTAGTACTTGTCAGATTACAGCACCACTATGGTTCTCTATATTATAGTATAATAATATAATATAGATATATAAGCCTTGTCTCATTACAAGACAAACCCTCTCCTCTGGTTCCAAAATGTGCATCAGTTATACTTATTTACTTTTGGTACATTGATTATATATATTGATAGCAATTACAACTGTATATCAAATTTAAACATTATGAATATAAGGGCAAGAAAATGCAATGAGAGGTCTACAACTTTAAACAGTACTCATATCTATTTTGCAAGACAGAATTCTAAAGAGAGGTTCACAAATCAAAATACCTGAAGTTCATGCTCATTAAACATGTCTATCCACTCCTTTTGTATTAAGACTTGGAAGCCCCTCAAAAAATGAGAACTTTGTTCACGTATCTGAAACATCATATCAATAAAAGAACATTATCATTCATTTAATCATTTAAGGATCAAACATCCAAAAGAAGCTCCAGTATCACATTAAGGATAAGAAGAGGAAGAAGGCAAGGAATAGCACCTGAGCGTTCAAACGATGGTTCGCTACAAGATGAATAAAGGTAATGACATTTTCATTAGTAACTCGCATGGTTCTTCCACCAGTAAGCAGCTCCTCCTCTCTTTGCTCCCCATATTCATTGTTAACCACAACAAAGTACAGCTCCAAGTCTGATAAGTTACCGTTGTAATGCTGTAAGTCAGAAAGAAGTGCAACAAAATGTGTTCAGAAAGATAATGTTAAAAGAGAAACAGGATCTAAGTAACAAAAGGAGGAAAATTTCAATGAGAAGTTCCTGAACAACCATTCTTCAGTTGAATACTATACATGAGAAGATTTATCATGTTTATAATTTCACAAGTCATAATGAATTTGATGTAGCACTTAGATGAAATTTACATACAAAGCTGGTGAATTCAACAACCCACAATGTCAGCTCATGGTATAGTTTTCTCTATACAACTAGGTAATAATAGCAAGCTGAAAAAGACATACAAGTTTGAATTTATCAAAAGAAATAAACTAACAAAGTAATCCTAGGAGACTCCACTTATAACCCCAAAAGATCCTTAAACTTGTCATAGGAAAACAGATTGCCCTAAATACTGCTGATTTCTTTCTTTCCAGATCATCAAGATTAAGGAAATAGGAGCCAGGCTTCATTCCTTTTTCCTCTTCTGTTATGAAAAAAATCTGAACCAGTCTTAACCTCTTTGATAATAGATGGAATGTCCCCATGAACACTCACTAATGACATAGAGCATGATCAAACATTGTCTTGCCCCATCACAATGGATGAGCAGATCACTCAGTTTCTTCACCATTGAGACAATTAGTGCTTCTCATCGACTCATCCAAAAACAGAAGCTTGTGGAGAACATTTTGGCTTTTAAGAGCTGACTGACAAGATTCCATTTCTTGATATAGTCCAGATCGTCTTGTCAACACCCTCATCATCAAACTTTGAATTGTAGAGTGTGGGCATGAAATTAAGAAAAGTTTCAATTATGGGGCAAAGCTCTTGTACAAACTACAGTCATTCAGTTCTGAGAATAAAAAGGGATATATTGTTTTACTGAGAATTTGAGATTATTATGTGCACACAACTCCTCAATTCTCTTTTCGGTCTTTATCAAGTTTAGTAGGTGTATATAGACGTTGTCCACAAGATGTTCTGTGAAGCAGCAAAAGTGAACATGACAGTTTGAGAAATATGATATTTTGAAACTTTGTGATCCTACCCTGCCATGTACAAATCGGCCTGCATGCTTGAGGCCTTCGCCTTTGTCATAAGGGAGACACAATTTGAGTAGGCATAATGTGTGCTGAGCATGTCATGCCTAACACAAGGCACTGCCCCTGCCAATAGTACTATGTGCAAACTGCAAAGTACTGACCATAACACAAAATCTTCCTTCATGCTATGTCCTTCATACACCACTACACTCAGCCAACCAAACCCTCAAAAGTCATTTTAAAATAAAAGAGAATTTCTTTAGCAGAAAAATGCCATGCATCTGTGTAATTACATATTACTAGTTCTTACTGAAATGAACACTTCTCTGCTTTTTCAATGAATAACTAAATGAAGAACAAGTCTTCATTGACCATAGTAGTATTAGGAAAAACTTGAATGAAGAAACAGTTGCAATGAGATCACCTTCAGAAAAATTAGATGGCGGTAGAGCTCCGGGTCCAATGAAGGTAAATCATTCAAATAGTTATGCCTGAGGAGCAATGTGAATGGGGAAAAATGAGCAAAACACAACAAAACAAAAACAGTAAGCGAAGTCTATATACTAACAAAGCAATTCCATTTCTATTTCTATACACAGTAAATAAATCAAATTATAGAGCACATAGAAGAGAAGGATCATATAAGAAGCATTTCAGAAATTCTTACTTTTGTTTCAATTTGCTCAGGAAGAATGTTGCAAATGGTATGTCAACAAGAATCCCTTCAAACATTGCCTACAATAACAAGGTTAAAAACAAAGTAAAAATCTTCTCCTTGTTGATAAAACATAACAAATAAAAGAACTATTATTAAATCTTTATAAGAGCAAAACAAAAGAGTAAATGAGTAAATCCACCTTAAGAGGAGGTTATAGATAATAATGAAAACTACTAAGGTGAAACTAGGTAAAGGAAATTACTAGGAAAGACATTCTGCAGTCCACAAACAAAGTAGAAGTCAATCTTTTTTAAGGCAAAAAGTGCACCAAAGAGATGGCTGGACCACCTTGCTTCAAAGTGCAAAGTGAAGCGTTGCTTTTGAAAAAGTTACACAAAATGACATTAATTTTATGAATCAAATTGAAATGTAAATGTTTTGTAATGCAACTTTGAAGACAAAAATACTACAATTAAGATGAATTTATAACAATATGAGCATATTGTTGCATCAATTATTAATGTAGTGCACCAAATCACTAATAAATCCGGAGTAGTTAAATCGTAAATACCACTTGAAAAGAGTTGGGAAGTGGTTTTTAGGAATGTAAAATTAGGGAAGGAGTTATAGGTGGGTGGGGAATTGGGTAATAGAGTTATAGAGGTAGGGAGGGGGCCATAGAGACAAGTGGTGGCTGAGGGCATTGGTTGGGCAAGGTGGTTACCAGTGTGATGGCTGGAACTTGGTTAGGATGAGGCACTTTGGAAAAGTGATATTTCTGTCAATAAAACATTTACAACTCTAAATGAGTATACATGTTTTACACCTATAAGAGTAAAGTCTTCTGCTTCCAATAGACCTTTTTTGTCCAATTTGGTTAAGTGAACAGCAAAAATTTGTAAATTATATTACACAAGTAACAAATAAAAAAGAAATTAATCCCATTCTATGTGAAGTAAATGGACTGCAATTCACTGATCAAATTAGGGTCTAATGACTGGAGTAATTCATAGTTTTCTCATGAAAGAGACAGGGCGAGAGACTCAGCCAGTGGTGATGCACACTCGGCAACCAGAATATAGGCAGTCCAATGCACAAAGCTTCAGTAAAGCATACAGTTCATTTGCTTAGTTCGAAGTTCAAATTAATTTAAAACTACTACAAAAAGAAAATGAGTTTTCATACATGTTTCCAAAATTGACGTGAAGATTTTCATTTTCAAAATAAAAACAATAATATGAGAAAGTGAACTTTCTCATGTGTTATAAAAAATGGCATGATGATTGATGAAAGTAAAGTGAATACCTTTGCAAGAACAGTCCCAAGAAAATTGAAGTATTGGAGATGTTGTTCATGAATCAGCCCTGATCCGGGATTCGGATATAGTAGGTGATCAGCCGTTTCCTGGATATATAAAGACAGATATGCATTACTGAAAATAGACACCCAAAAAACAAAAACCATGACAGATACAGCCTTGTCTTTTAATTCATATCAGAAACTATTGACCCTTTTATATGACTCATCCATGCAAGTTCTTTGAACATTTTGACAGGGAATAATTACAATTGTGAACCTTTGAGAAAATACAATACTTTTTGGATCTTAAATGGAATTAATTATTCTTTTCACATACTTAGGGTGCATTTGGGAGAGCTGTCAGAGCAGTTTCCATTTGGATGAATTGCAGTTGGATGATAGGAGTAATACAGCTTCAATTGCAGAAATTTCAGTACGAGTGGTGATTGGTGCACTCTAATCCCACCACTCTCCTCCCAAAGGAAGCCTTAGTTGTAGAAAATCAAGACAATAAACTAGATAGGCTTGAGACTATTTATAAATTGAGGGAATACTAATGAATGGAGTTATCAAAATTATATTATTGACTGTAAGCAAATAGAATGTGGATGTTCTTTAAATGTATTAAAAATATAATAGCACTGGTCAGTTATTTTTTCTGCTGTAACGCGCTATTGTTCATCCTTAAGTCCTTAACTCGGTTAAAGTACCTACGAGATCCCTGTACTATAGCATTTTGTTCAATTTAGTCCTTATACTTTTATTTTGTTCAATTTAGTCCTTGTACTTTAAAAAATGGTGCAATTAAGGACAATAGTTAACAATGTTAATATTATCGTTAACTTAGATTACGTGACGCTGATTATATTTATATTCCTACTAATATATTACTTTATAAATATTTAAAATTTTTTATTTTTACCACCAATATAGTAAATTAGTATGTCCAAAATAAATAATTACGACCATGTTCGTAATGAGATTTGGACAAATGTCCTTAGTTTTATCACTTTTTAAAGTAGAGGGACTAAATTGAACAGAATAAATGTACAAGGACTAAATTGAACAAAACACTATAGTACAGGGACTTCATAGGTACTTTGACCCCTTAACTCTCTATATTAATTAAAAAATTAATTCGTTTGGATTTTACAAGTTCAAAGTGGTATAATTTTTCCCGAAACCCAGAGACAATTGATTCTCTTGCTCTATGTACTCAATTCTGTTTCATTACATGCTTTAAATAATATCCTTATCTGTAATTTCTTTAACAAATAGATTTTATACATCAGATTCATTTTAATTCTATTCCTGTTCTATCTATAAATTCCTTTAGTTAATTCCCTTCCATGTCTATCAGCGAATAAAGGTCCCTTATCCAGCAAGTCATGGTAGGTGATAAACTAAGACATGAAAGTGAGCTGATCAGCCAATGCACAAATAATTAAAGACATGTACAGCAACAGTGAAAGTAAATGGGTACTACCTTAAATAATCCATATTGTACATCAAATGCTGAACGAGTAATATTCTCCATAAAGTCTTTGAAAATCCCACCACCATCTATACCAGCCTCTTCAACTCCAAATTCATTGATAAAGGTAACACGAATCTAGAAAGCATGAAAATGACAATTAGTTATAAAAGAAACAGACAACTAGCCTTCTAACGGAACAATACAAATTACAAAATCAATGATCAAAAAACAAAAAGGGCATCACCAGTCCACGGAGATCATCCTCAGATAATGCATTCAACTGATTAAAAGCATCTTCCAGAATATGGTCTCTTCTTATTCTGAGTCTATGCCTTGCAAAAACAGCATGATTCCCATTCCTTTCTCTGGAAGAAGCAAGCTTTGACTGGGATTTATTAAAAACCATATTAATAGCTAACTTCAATAATTAGACATGTTTTTCATAAATTAAAGTAGAAATAACTTGAAGAGGCTAGATCTAGTAAATTGAAGAAGAAAGTTACTACTGAAACACCACTCACGGTAAAAATTTTAGCTCTGCTGGTAAATGGCACCAAGAAGGGAGCTTGTTTTAGTATATCATTAGCTCTAGTATTTTCTATCATTGCCTGGAAGGAAAGTATTCAAATAAGTGACTACTGAGCTTTAAAAGAAAAAAAATTCAAAAGCAACAAAGAAAAGCAGAAATCAATTTTCAACTGTTAACAGTTTTACCATAGAGATGAAGTGCTCATTGACACCATCAGCATGGAAGTCAGTAGGAGATGTAAATTGCCTTCTATTATTCCAATCTTGCAACTACATTATTAACTCCATGTTAAAATAACAATTGCACAAGACATTTCATATAGATAAAAATAAAAATAAAATGAGGACAAGAAATAGTAACAATTACTACAGTATGGAATATTTTCCAGAATAGGGTCATACATACGGGCATACCTTTGAGAGGAGCTCAGAGGCCACAACACAAACCTTGTGCTGAAGAAAGTCCACATGATGCCTCTTCGTAGTAAATCTATCGGTAGTATATTTGTTGAAATTAGTTGGAGGCAAAGGATTCAGCCATAGAATTTGCCACAAGGCCTAAAGAAGAGAGGCAAAGCACACTTAAGAATTAGCACAAGAAGAAATGAGAGACTACACAATATTAACCTTTATCCTTGAGCACAATGTAAGGCAAGATTCCATCAATCTATAAGTAGTGGATGAGCAAGGGAGCATATTTAAATTTAAAAACTGAACTACCATAACACTAATTTAGTAATCTGAGGCATAAATAATTTAGTTAATGTTAACTCAAGTGTTATACAGCTATTATTGAATCTTAGTCATGTGAGGCTTATCCTATGAGAGGCTGCAAAATTAATTGATGTGGTCTTCACACAGTGATCACAATTCACAATGTTTCGAAACTAAGATTGTGAACAATAACCTTAAAATGTAATGGCCTGTGGATCACGTGTCAGCATTCATCCAAAAAGAATTAGTACTACATATTCCATGAACCTAGGGTGAATTAGTTATATGAGCCTTCATAAATAATTCACAAGTCAGATGAACATTTACTTCAAAGCTGATGAACATTACAATCATAAACATTGATCATAATTATGATGCACATTAATCACAATTCACAAAGACAAATGCAATTACTTTTTGTTCTGGCACTCTACATGCTTGATCACACAAGGGCTCATTATATCATATCCCCTCCATCCATCCTAACACCCTTAGTCATGTGAACAGAATAGCTAAAACCTTCTGCATTATTTATTAAGATGCTCAGTAACTATATTCCAATTGAAGCCTTTTATTTCTTCTTTTGCTGCTTTTCCAGTCTTCAGCAAAAAGGTCCTAGATTTTAACTAATCAACAAAAATATTGTCCCAGCATTCAAATACAGGTTTTTGACTTTGTTATTCTGTAATTTACCTGTCTTAGGATAATAATCAGACTTTTGATATCCTTCAGAGATAATGGCTTCTCCTGTTCATAGAACTCCTCATTATCAATTATCATAAGCATATGCCTGATCCACCACAGAATTAGGAAGAAAAATAAAAGTCAGCAAAGCTTACACCAAAAGTAAATTACCAAAGAGAATAGCACTCATATGGAAAGAAAGTATTGAAGCAAAGACCTCTTACTTGTAAACAGGACAGAAAACAGCCAATGGCAATAGCCAACCAGGTGCATCTACTGGCAAATAGGTTGACTGCTCTGACAGCAATGACCATTTCTGATTCTCGTGGCATTGCTTCATGAAGTTCCAAAGTGCAGGAACTAGTTCTGTCCGATAAGCAAGTACAGTCATAATTCTATCAGGGTCTAATAAATTGAAAGTCACGTGCAGGAAAGCACAAGCTGCACCAACAGCTGCCACATCTTTCTCATTAGGCTGGCCACTTTGTACACCATTGGTGGGTGTAGACCTCCCAAACAAAACATTTGTCTGTTCAATAAAATGAGTTTCTGTTTTTACTTGCTTTGAATGGAGAAAATGCCAATTTATAAACCAGTATATAACAGATATTAAGAAGGTTCATTAAACCACATACCAACTGTAGAAGAAAACTTGGATCAATTGCTTTGGATATTTGTTGTTCCAAGTCCATATTTAGAACCTCATCACTTTCTTCATCTCCAATACTCATTTCATCATCAGCCACTGAGAAAACTGAAGAACAGATTGGCATACCATTTTAATAAAAGGGTGGTCATCAAATGTGTACAGTGTAATCACAAAAGGCATGTTAATGAGAACAAGTACAAGAAGTATATTATTTGGCGTACTTCCTGTACTTCCCATGCTTGATTTTCTGAGAGATGGGAGAGCTTCCAACAAAAATGCAGCAACAGTTGCAAAATCAATAGCCTGGGGAGTTCAACAAATTAAAGGGGACTATTAAAAAAAAAAAAAAATTAAGCCTGAATAATATGAAAATATGAAAACAGTTTGATTGATTCTGAAGTTTAAGAAAAAATTCAGTTGAGCTAACTATATGATAGGAACTAATAAATGTTATGGCTAGAGTTCGAACTTTGTAGAAAAAACATCACATTCAAGTCTTGATTTACATTTTTAATTATATTTGATTGGATAATGGGGCATAATGTACTACGGAGTATTATTTAACAAAGTGTGCCAAACATCCGATATTGAGATGAAGGCTTTGAAGCGTTGAGTTGAGGTGTGTCAAACATACTGCTACTGAGAATGTTTAACAAACAGAATGGAATTACAGAACTTGACAGAGGGAATGCACTAAACTAAAGAATTAGCATCATATATCATCAGAAAGTGAAAGAACATCAAGAGAAAATGGAAATCATATCCAGGTAGCTGTGAAAAGCATAGCTAACCATATCAAATGAGTCTTGCTGGGTAAAAGCAAGGCTACCAACATCCAATAGGTTCCCCAAAAGGCATCCATAGCCAGGTAAATCAATTGCTGTATCAGGAGGTAGAACACTACTATTATCTTTGACACATAATGCCATCTGATGGATATAATGTTGACTCAGAGCTGGTGTTGCAAAAATCTATCCACACAGAAAGATGAACAGAAGTATTAAGTTAAAAGATATATGTGTGTGTGATAAACACTAAACCAATTATGGGACAGTACCAACAGCACAAGTCCAAGATTTGAAATTAAAACCAGAGCGATACAAACTGTATATACAACTTTTTTTCTCAATATGATGAGTAATCCAGCGCAATTACAACCAAACAATCAGCAGATGAATACACAGCAACCTCTAAAGCACAATTAACAATAACCAATTGCAATGCTCTACTCTAAATTAGCACAATCTACAACCACCCCACCCCCCCCCCCCCCCCCCCAAAAAAATAAAAATAAAAAAATGCATGAGTCAAACATTGTCATTGGATTACCTCTTTTAGGTGTGGGAAGAAACGCCACAAAAAAGGTATTGTAAGAATCTGAGAAGGGAAACTTGCTTGTGGGTCAAGGATAGGACAACTACAAGATTGTTGGCCCACGTGAGACATAATAACAGCAATTATACGCTCCAAAGAGGAATCCACCCCATTGGAAACAGGAAAAGCCCTTTCCTGAAAAAATTAATCATCAGTAGATAACACTTAGGAGTTGGAAATGTAAAATCCCACTGAGATCCCAAATCCCATTACTAGTACAAATTGCAAGAAAAACAAATGTAAATTACGGGATTGATTTCTACCTTCCCCATCAGAATAAGTTCTCTAAATAAAGAATATATATTTCTTTCAAGAAGATAAGTGACTGTGTTGCAGGCCCATGGAAGCCTTAGATCAATCAACAAAGCGACAGTGTCCAACAAGAGGATAGTTGGTGTCTGACTGATTTCAGATGCCACAAAAAGCTGGTCCTTCAACTCATTCCTGTAAAAAGATTAAAATAAGACATCTTCTGTCTGAAGTATTATAAAGTAAAATTAATTTGGAGTACTGAAAAAGATCCACTTTTAAATACACAAACAACAAAGTTCGGCTGTACTTATGGAGTAACAAGTAAACACTTAAGTGAAAGTACAATTGCACATGCATTTGCAAAGAAATAATGCTCAAAAATACCAGATCCCCAAAAGAACTACACTTAAAAACATTTTCTTCTTGAAGCACACAGAATTAAATGCAAGCAATTATGAAAATATAGAATCATGTACAGCCCATCAAAATTTCCTTTTACTCACTGTTAGAAAACGTAAGAGATATCCTGTCAATGTTTCAGTGATTTCATATGTAATAGAACAAACTAACTTCACAAAATCCTTAGGTTCCTGTTCTCACATTAAAGGGGGCAGAAGTGAGTGTGCAAGGCTCTTACATCAGGCAAGATCTGGGGCAGCAAGATGTACAGAATATTAGCTCTATCTTATGTAGGTTTATTAAATGACTTGAACCCATTATATGATATTCTAATTGTCAATGGATAAGCACTTGCCCACTACACTTTGCAGAAGCTTAGTCCTATTTTCGAATCAGTGAAACCAAAAACAAAAAACAAAAACAAAAAAACAAAAACAAAAACAAAAACAAACAAAAAAATCTATAAAGGACCATGAATGCAACATTCTGAGTGCTATATACAAACAATTCAAGAATAACTCAAAGATCTTGAAGCAAACCTGTTTGCATAAAGAGCCTGGATACAAGTATAAGCAAGTTTCTTGACCCTGTGGTCCACTAATGCACGGTTGGAATCATATTCCATTCCAGCAAAGATGCTAACAATATCCCCTGTATGGTGAATGGATAGATGTAACAAGTGCAAACTTATATAAAAAGTTAAAAGAAGAAATGGTGGAGTCATGAGGATGAATAAAAACATTTGGATTGCACAAGCATGCATCAATTTCTTCAAATAAAATCATTCAAATCCATTGATCTAACTCTCAATCCAAAACTAGTTGGGATCAGTACAAGAATTCAAATGTATTCCTCAGAGACTAATATTCACACACCCAAACTTCTAGACATATGCATGTACTAATCACTTTACAGCACCCAAACTTGTTATTTTATCATTTATTAGTAACCACATCAAAATTATGATTAAGAGAGAGGCAGAGAGTTTGTTTAGCCTTTCTAAAAGTAGTACCACTATTTTTATATCTTGGGAGTATAGCAAATGTATCCACCTGCAGATGAAGCAAAATACCTCCCAAAATAAGCACATCAACACCCCAACATATACAATTAAATTTTGGCAAACATCTATTCATCTTCATCTACAAAATATGCAGTTTCCATATTCAGAATCACACATCCCATGACTGATAACAAAAAAGAGATAAAGAAGGGGACATATTATAGTTGGTGACAAACCAGTATGTTGAACAAGTTCTTTTAACAAACAGCATGCTTTCACAATGACAGAAAAATCAGCAGCATCTGTAGGATTAAAGAAGAAAAGCAGCTGGCGAAGAAAGTCTGAATCTGGACCAAAGGACTGCCTGAGTGACACAGAAATAAAAGAAGATGATGATTACAATTGTAACAACAGTGAATAATATAATCTGATTTTCTGCTTATAAAGCATAAATAAATAAGAGCATTGCATACATGAGTTATATAGCATAAGATGTGAAATTACAAAAACTATGGGGATAGGAAAAGTGCAGTCAAAGCTATGTATTAAGATGAAAATAGGAAACAAATGGATCAACCTCTCAACATGTTGGCAGTGGTCCCCATAAGTATTGAAAAATGATTCACGCACTCTGGACTGTTCAGCTTTAACTGCCTTTCTTCCTCTGAAGCATTTCTGTAAATTTAAATAGTTAAGATCTGAAGTTCAACAAGAATATAACAAGTTCAAAATACTATAGAAAATCATTGACCCCAAAAAAAGCATTCACAAATAATTAAGGTACATACAAAATTAAAAGAAAAGGCAGCATAAATTAAACAGGGAGATAGAGAAAAGATAATGAGGAGCTATGATTAGATATTATGAAGTACTTTTCTTTGTTTGTAAATTGGGACTATAATTATAGAACTAAATCTTCCAACAGTTCATTGCATTAATGGGAAGATATCTTAGATAACAATGCAGACCTCAATCAATATCCATACCAGTTCTGAAACCCAACATCAACGTCATAGTTTTTGTCCTTGGACTCCTTAGCCTTTCCATTACATTGTTTACTTAAGAAAGTTATGAAAACTTATTACAAACAAGTAATAAACAACTTAAAATACCAAAGTTTAGGCAAGTCTCAAAACCTATAAGGCTAAAAGGTTACCAATCATCAACTACCCCAAAACCAACCCGTTACAGTATTCCAAGAAATCCAATCAGGTTTAATAATCAAGCACCCCTGAGAGTCAAGAGGAACCAGAAACTAGGTAAAGCCAATCCTATTGCAGCATTGTCTGAGGCACAAAAATTCACAGTTAAAAAGAACACAACAGCAAAAGTCAAATTAAAAACTACTCTCTGTGTCTAAACCTGCTAACAACACCATAAAAAAAGTCTCCATTTAGAAAAGATATCAAAAAACATAATTGCATCAATATTTTGCTTTAGCTGGTACCAATACAGAATGACTAATTGACTATTGCTTCTTAAGTTGCAGTGGACTTCCAATCTTCAAGCATTCCTTCTAAAACTGTCAGTGCAAGCAAAATGTAATAAAAGCGCCCATTCCTAACGGTAAAGGCCTATTTTAGCATTCGTTTCAGTTACACACTCGACCTAGGTAACCAACTTCACCAAAAGCTCATCCAGTAAAGCTAATTCAAACACAACATGAAATCGTTGCGGAAAACAATTACTCCGTACTATAATTTCCCCATTACAGAATTTTGTTGTTCATACTGATCAAGAGCACATACGGTATGCCACGTATAAATATATTGTAAATTGTAAATTTGTAAATACGAAACAAAACATCTCCGTAGAAATATGACATTCTCTTTTTTAGAGAAACCTGAATTTTGATGGCAGCCGAGTTCTGCTGACGCAAGTACTGCCGGCGATTACGCTCCTGCCGAGCCTGCTCCAGAAGCTTCTGTCGGTCGCGTTCCTTGGAGCTTCGGCCGCCTAAATCGACTCGCTTCCGCGACGAAGGATCACCGCTGAAAAACATTGTTTCACCTCTCCGCGGCGAACTCTTACCCTAATTCCACGCGCAATTAGCTGAGAACCGATTCTGCTGTAATTTGCGTTTGCCGTACACTGAGTTCCCGATCGGGAAAGGGAAACGAAAAAAGGCTCTCGACTATATAGACTGAATTGTTCGGTTTTCGTCTCTGCAGTCTACAAAAGTCCGCTTGTGCATTATGTATCATGAAGCAAAGTTCATTGCCTCAATTTCACATTTTCTCGCTAATTATACTTTTCCGACCCCGCATTCAAAAAAAAAAAAAAAAATACTTTTCCGACCCCAAAAAAGGCAACAAAATACTTGCAGTATTGTTTTAGTTTTCGTGACAAAGTATTTAAAAATAAAATGTTAAATATATTTCATAACTTTGACGGTAAGTGATAATATTAAATAAAAGATTTAATATGTTAAAATTTACTAACCAGGATTATGTGGTCTAATGGTATCCGGGTTGGACTTCCATTTGGAAGATTATGAGTTCATGCCTCAGTGGAGGCGTCTATGTAATAGAGCCAGTAACTTTCAAAAGAAAAAAAAAATGTTAAAATTTACTAAATATATATAATATAAATTTAATAAGAGTCAATTATGTATATAACACGAATTAAAAAATATTGATCTAATTATTTGTTGAAATGAATGATACATATTGTTTTGATTCTTTTTTTTACTTTAATTTTTAGAATTAGGTTCTGGTGCAGTTGGCAGTCCCATGTGCGATTGTAAGGTTAAATCTGAGTCATTGATCTTGCTTAAATCAAGGTCCAGGATTATCAATTTTTTTATATAAAAAAAATTGTGATGGCAATTTGGTAATTTTGCATCTAAGTCAAATTTAAGGTGCATGAGTTTTGTGCTTAAGGTGCGTGAGTTTTGTACTTAATGTGCGTGTGGTTTGTGCTTAAGGTACGTTGGGTGGTGCTTAAGGTGCGTGGGTTGTATACTTAATGTGAGCAGTTGTCGAAACTAAATATGCGTGAGTTTTGTGCTTAAGGTGCGTGAGATTTGTGCTTAAGGTGCATAAATTTTGTGCTTAAGGTGAGTAGTTGTTAAAATTTATGGTGTGTGGGTTCTGTGCTTAATGTGAGCCATTTTAAAATCTTAGGTGCGTGGTTTATGTTCTTAAAGTGCTTTGTATTGTGCTTAAGGTGCGTGGTTTATGTACTTAAGGTGAGTGATTTGTGTTCTTAAGGTGTTTTGTTTGTGTGCTTAAAGTGCGTGGTGATTTGTGTACTGAAGGTGCGCCATCTTAAGCTTAAGGTGCGTCCAACCGCACAATCGCACAGGAAATCATTCCTGCACCTGAACCCTTTCCTTAATCTCTATTATATCATTTGCATCTCTTAAATACCTCTGCATTCTATTGGTGTAAATTTTAATAACAGAATATCCCGTTAACTATTTATTGTTCTTAACTTACTCATTCCCTCCAAGGCAACAAGGAATAAACGTAGGGATAGTCCCCCATTTTAAAAAAGTCAAATATTAAAGAGTAAATTTCACTTGTAAGCAGGTAGTTATTGAATATTGTAGTATTGTCACATTTAACATACTATTTTAATATTTTGTATCATTATATTTAGTAGGAGTAGGTGGGGTTGTGGGGGTAACCCCACCTAAGTTAATTAGATTGTTAACTTGGTAATCATAATGTTACAAGTTCAACTCCCAACATAAGCAGCCTATTGGTCTTTTTGAGAGACTCAAAGCTCAAAAATAGATAAAAGGTGATGAAGACTCTTTGTACGTAGAGAGTGTATAAATAGTTGTGAAAAAAAAAAAAAACAGTACCATGAGATTTGCCGAGAAGTAGTGAACCGGAGCTGGGATATTGCGATCAAACAAACCAGGATGAAGATTTCAGCTGGCTTACTAGCCCTCCGAGAGAGATTCAAAGACACCTACGTGACGACGAGCTGGGGCTCTTGGATAATGCGCTAGCTGTGAGGATCGTCTAACGATCACGGGTGTCCCCCTCCATTTTTTCAGAAAAAAAAAACAAAAAAAAAAAATAGTACACTAATTGGATTTAAAGCAGTAATTATTATGGAAATTCTGCTTTAGTTCACATGGGCCATTGAAGAAAATTCACATTTATTAGGCCTCATAGTGTTAGTATCTACTGGCGGCCTATAAGTATTGGGCTCTGCCTAGGTCGAACTTCTAGCCCAACTTCAACAGTATCAATACGACAATCCACATAGTTGTGTGGATCACAGTCTAAGAATAACGTTATTTCGTATAAAAAAAATAAAAAATCAAACGACCTAGTGTAAGATACATTTTTGTAACTCATAATATACATTATTTTAAAGCATAACGTAAATTATTCTAACTCATAAAGTATATTATTTTATCCTATAAATTTCATTATTCTAACACATAAAAGTCAACAACATCGTTCTGGACCTTGTTCCACACAATAATTTGCCCTATAGTATTTATACTTATCCATTCTCTTGTTGGTTTTTTTTTTCCTCATTTTTTTTTTGTAATTTAATTGCATTGATATTTGCATCTTATAAAATGAGATTAATCTAGTTAAGTATAGATCAAGCCTATTAGAGCAATACCATTGACGTGAAATTTTAAAAAATTTGCCAGATTTTTCCCTTGTATTGAAAAGAAAAGAGTGATTGGTGAGATTCTACACCAGTCACCACTACACGTGCTTGCTGGTAACATTGGATAGTCGCTAACTTATGATCACTTTTTTTTTCTTCCCTTTATCTCTCATGTCGCAAAAGACTTGATCAATTTAAACGTTTTTTAGGGATAGTTTTCTCAAAAACGTTACTACATGTACATGATTTTTTTTTTTTTTTTTTATAGAGGAAAATGATGTAAACTTCCTAAAACTCCTATAATTCAAAAACAACATAGTACTCGACCATGTGAAATGCTAACTACCTCGAACCTAAATTGCACGTGGAATTGTGAAAGGATTGAATTTAAGTTGGTCTGAAATAATAATGATGTTGAACTTCAAATTTTATCATTTCCTCAACTTGCCTATATGCTTCAATCCTTACCCCAACTATTGGGCTGCTATTCCTGGATGCCCACAACCCCCCAATAGTCTAATACCATTTGTCATATTGTTCTTTACATCTTAGAATCAACTATGAATGATAGTGCCTATTCTAGCTAGCTAATTCCCTCAAGATTGAGATGGTTTTATTAAAACAAAAAAAAAAAAAAAAAAAAATTATGGTCAAAGATTCTACTATTCATGCTATAATAATAATAATAATGTTATTGGACTCTAATTAATCCAAAATCGAGTTACTGTAAGAATCTATAACGATCGTTATATCCTACACCACGGCGCACATAGCACTGTGCGCCGCGCGCCTCCCAAAACGACGTCGTTTTGGAGTAGTGTTGGAAGGCGCGGTAGGAAGTTGCTGAGATTATGTGTATTTGTTCACAACGTTATGTGTATTGGTTCATACAGTTATGTGTATTTTTTATACAATTATGTACATTCTTTTTATACAATTATGTACATCCGAATCAGAAAATTTGTGTGTATTATGTTAAGAGTTGATGTGTATTATGTTAAAAGTTTATGTTTATTATGTATTATGTTAGATTATGTGTATTATCTTTTAAAAAGAGTATGTATATTTTGTTATATAATTATGTGTATTCTAGTATAACATTATGTACATTCTTGAACAACGGTTTTTTTTTTTTTAAAGAAAAAACTAATGCCATTCACTGGGACGGAAAATTTCAAAAAAAAAAAAAAAATTAAAACGACGTCGTTTTGCATCTGGGCGCATAGTGCAACACGCGCCGTGGTGTAGGATATAAATTGCCAATCTATACAAAGATAATCCGATTCTTCCAACGACATTTATAAAGTCTGAACTCGATATTATTGTCAGATCTTTTTTTTTTTTTTTTTTTTTTTTTTTTTGAGATTGTAAAAGTAACCCCAATTGGCATGATTTTAAATTGTTATATAGTGGACTTTGTCTAGATTATGTAGATGCTGTTAATATATTGTGTACTTTCAGTTTATTTACAGTTATATAATTTTGTTACCTGAAGGTAAATAATATGTTACTTGCAAGTATATAATCTGAATGTCGTTTTGGATTAGGATCCACATTGCAATGTTGACCATTACATGATATAATTTGCACATGATTTTTTGACAATTTTTTTGTGGGCCCCAAGTTTGTACAAAAAAAATGAAATAAAAAAAATTTAAAAGGGAGGAGAATTGAAGTGGTCACCAGGTAACTACTTCAATTAGGGGTGTGCATTCGGTTAATCGGTCAATTAATCGAACCGAATTAATAAAAGCTATTAATTTTTTGACCGTTAACTGAACCGGAATTTATTTAGTCAAATTAACCAAATTGATTTTTTTTTTTTTTTGGTTAATTGCTTTACTAAAATTTGTAACTAAATTTTGAAATCTTTAAAATTATATATAAAAATTAACATTAGGGAAAGTGTAATCTATAATATTGTTTTAGACTTTTAGGGAAAGTGAAATACTCAACTTGGTTAATATTTTCAATAAGTTAATAATTTAATATTGTTGTTTAATATTTAGAAATAAATAAATAATATATCTATAAAATTTTGGTTAATCGATCAATTAACCCGACAATTTCAAACCGAATCAACCAACGACCGAAATTATATAAAATCCCTGACCATTAACCGAACCAAATTGTATCTGTTGAAAAATAGTTAACCAAAATTCTTCAATTCGATTAATTAACCGATTCTCTACCGAAATAGGTTTCATGCATGCTTGTTGGGTTTGTAAAGTAATAAACAATTGTGGCAAAACTTGGACTACATTGGAATGAAAGAAAACAGTTGAAATTGGACAACAAATTAAAGTAAAACATTGTCATCAAATCAACTTGTGCTTGCTAGCTACCACAGGCCGGAAGGATCTGTAATGGAATTAGATACAAGTCCACTCTATAGTTAATGTCAAACTTCAATTAGGTTTTGGGGCATTTTCACACGTACTGCAAAAATTTGAAATTCTTTTGCTCTCTCTAAATTTATAATTAAGCATCTTAGTTCTATTATCACTCTTCATCTTTCAAAGATTAATATATATGGAATCCATGGAGTAGTTTATTTATTTATTTATTTATTTATTTATTTATTTATTTATAATTATGATATACAAAATGGTCATAGTTAACTAATATGGCT